TTTCATTTTAAAAAACCTGTCAAGCCTGAAAATCTGGCATGTTTGTAGACCACGTGGTGCCAGGGATCAAATCCCGGATCCAGCACGCAAAGCACGAGCTCCAGCTCTCTCAGTACTCTCCCTGGGCCCCTAATAAAGTATCCTAAACAGAATATTGAAACTTTTTAACAATAATCTTCCAATAATAATAAAAATTCTTTTTTATTCTTTTATTTTCTATTTTCTTTCATTTCTATATTCTTTTTATATATAGAAAGAATATTTTATATATTTACATATTGCATGTAGAACATATTTTATATAGAGAATATTATATATTTTATATATAGAAAAAATACTTCTATATTCTTATATTACAATGATACAACAGTAAATATTTTTAGTATAGCTCAAACTTTTTTTTCTTTCCCTTTTCCCCTTCTCTGAGCCAGACAGCAAACCTTCAGTATCATAGTCTAAATTACTATAAGCATTAGATGTTGAAAGAACTATAGATTAAATCTAATACTCATATTAAACTTCAAAAATCCCACAAAGACATAGCTTCCAGAAAAATCTGAGCTTTCAGAGAACATATGATCTAAAATCATAAATATTACCACCTCTGCTGCAATGATCAATGTCATAAGAGCAATAAAAATCAAATCAATGGACCAGAGAAATAGTACAGTGAGTTCAGAAGCTTGCCTTGCAAGCTGCTGATGCTGGTTCAATCCCCAACACCACAAACGGTCCCTCCACATTTACCAGAAATGATCCCTGGGCACAGAGCCAGGAGTAAGCCCTGAGCAGAGCTAGGCTAGCCCCCAAACCCCAAAATACATAATACCCCCCAAATCAATAAAAGCTCAATTAAAAATGCTAGCTGCTAAGGCATATGCTTTGTATGATTGAAACCCTGGGCTTGAGTCCTGGCACCTCACAAAAAAAGTTCTTTCTCAAAACAGAGGTCACGGGGTTGGAGTGATAGTACAGCAGGTAGGGCGTTTGCCTTGCATGCAGCCGACCTAGGTTCTATTCCCAGCATCCCATATGGTCCCCTGTGCACTGCCAGGAGTCATTCCTGAGTGCACGAGCCAGGAGTAACCTCTGTGCGTCACCGGGTGTGACCCAAAAAGAAAAAAAAAAACCACAGAGGTCACACTCTGGACAATGCATGCATCTACATGAAATCTTCCCTATCAGTTACATTTGGCATTCACACAACCAGACTCAAGCCTACCTCTGTCACCTAGTAGCCATGGTCTGAAACTCAGTTCAAACAATAAAAGCTACTCTAAGCCAGGTACTGCTCTGGGTGCTAGGGAGACAAACAGAAATAAACATGGTCTATGTCCTCAATTTAAGATTAAATGGCTTGCCCCGGATTTGCTTTGAACTGAATTTTAGGGCTTCAAGTGAAGGCTAGGAAGTGGTAATAACACTTACTGAGCATATATGCTACTAAGTACTGCAGTAGAGGATACACGTATGTAAGTCTTCACTTAACCAAAAACTTAAGTAAACATTCTCTCCAACACACAAAGGAAGAACCTGAGACTACAGCTACAATCCTTGTTAAGGTGACACTGTAGGTTACTTCAAAGGATATTAAGTGTTCCTGTGAGACTGGGGGGGTGGGGGGGGTTAGGTAACAAAAATGATCCAGTCTGGCGGTGTCCATCATAGGTTGTATCACTACCCTCCAGAGAGAATACTTTAAGCTTTACCACTGTCTCAACTAAATGTCCTTCTTCTCTCCGGCTTCAATAAAGCTATAACTTCATGCAGCATTTATATTTTATTCATAATAGTATCTAGTGAATGCTAATTATGTTGCCGGCACTGTTCTAGGCATCTTATATATAAAAAATCATTTCATGCACATAATCCAGTGAAGTGAATACTTGCATCTTTCATTCATCTTCTCTTCCTGAAGCATAATTTCATCCTTTTTTATTCCTCAGCCTTTCGTATACCTCTTTGCCTTCTTATTTTGATTTTAAAATGCAGCAAAGAAGATTTTAAAAAGAGGGGCAAAATCATACTAAGTGGCAGAACTGGGGCTTAAATATAATCTGGTCCCAAAGCCTAAACTTCTAAACTGTGCTAGAGTTTAGAAGAACTCTCAGTGATTTTGTTTCCCCTATTAAAGTGGAAATTCTTTGAGGGCTGGAATAACTGAGTTTTCTATAGCTAGTAGATAGGTAAGAAAGAAGTTATATAGTCTTAGCATATAGGACAGTTTCTGATAAATATGCATTTAAAGACCTGCACTGGCCTTGAGTAGTTAATTCAACAGGATGAACTGCTTGTCCTATAGGTCAGGGATCAGCAGCTTTTTCAGAAAAGGGCCAGAGAACAAGTATTTTAGGCTCAGCAGGTTCTAAAGCTTCTGTTGTGATTTCTTACCTCTACCCTTATAGTTCTATAAAGAGCTATAAATGATTCTTAAATCAACATGGCTGTGTTCCAATAAAGCTGTGGTGACAAGTGTAAGCGGTGATACTGAGTCTGATTCACTGATCTGGGCTTACGTGACAGACTCCATGAACAGGCCAGGAGAGCGCTTGAGTGGCAGCACAGGCCACACATAAACTAGACCCTGAACTAAAGACTACTCCAGCCCAAAATCAAAACAAAAAGGCAAAGGAGTATACGAAAGGCTGAGGAATAAAAAAAGGATGAAATTATGCTTCAGGAAGAGAAGATATAACGAGATGGAGAAAAGTCATATTAAAAAATGTAGGGGCAAAAAAAAAAAGTAAAGGCCAACAAGATAGTTGTATGCACAGAGTTCATGCTTTGCATTCAGGAGGTCCAACTTTTAGCCCCCCCAAATTCATGGTTCCAGCAAACACCTTTGGGACCCTCTCACCAGCCAGCACAGGAAAAGTCAGCACTGCATAGAGCAGGAAAACCCCCCAAGGACCACCAGATGTGCTGGCAAAACAATCAAAATGAAGAAACTCATTTCATAGAAATGTTCTAACTTAACTCATCTAAAATAGTCTCCTTGATATTTAATCAATATAAAAATGATTGAGAGGTCAGGGAGCTAGCTCAGCAATCAGGGGCGTGACTTGTATTCGGTCAGTTAAGTATGGTTGTTGCATCCCTGGCTTTAACATGAAAAGCATGGTCAATAATGATCTTGCCCAGATACACTAGTCTCTGTGGATTAGGGTTTGGAGAATGAGAGCCGCCACCAGACAGGGCGACTCCCTGATCAAGGACAGGGTTCATGTGGAAAGAGGCCCGCAGGGTCCCGGGACAAGGCATTCTCTTTAAGCCTGGCTGTGCTGAGAGGGAGCAGGTGGGCAGAGTCCAGCACCCACAGCACATACCTGGGTTCAGGAACACCTAGTCTGTAAGCACAGGGCCCGAATTCAAATCTCCTACCAGAAGCCCTCCTCCACAAAGCAGACCCACATCTGGGGCCCTACAGATAACTAGTCCTATATTCTGAGGAGGCTGCAGGGGATTAGGGACACTCAGGAAGATGGTCCTCACACAAAATTTATTCACATATTTTGTTACCTTTAGTTCTATAAGAAATCTCAAAATCCAAAGTCCATTTCAATCTTGAGCACATGATTCCAGTTAGTTTTAGTCCCAATGCAATCGTGCAACAATGGGTCAAAGTAAGGCAAACGTCACCACCACACCCACTGGCTAGTTTGGGTACCAACCTCTGGACAGGCATGCCCAGTGACTCTGAACCTAACTTTGAATCATTTGTTCCCCATTAAAAGTCACATGATAAATCAGTGTCTTCATTTCCATGCCATAATTACACACCAGGTGACTTTCAAGTTCCTTTTCGCACTTGACTCTCATACCAACTACATCTGTGGGTTGTGGGCCTGTTACATCCACTTTACAAAAGAAGAGACTTAAAGACTGGAAGAACTCAGAAAAAAAAAATTCAAAGCTGATTTGAAGTCAAATATCTCTACTTGTGCCCCAACATCACCACTACCTTAATCAAAGCTTTAAGCGTGATTCTATCTGTGGGGCTGGCTGGCGGGTTCCCCACCCACAAGGCTGCAAATTCCACAAAGGTCCATTTTCCAATATTAATGCCGTGCTAAGTATGGTCTGGATCATGGCATGCAAACATAAAAATGTAGAATTTTACTGTCGCTGTAGTGTGTGTATTTGAACTTTTTAACATTTAATATCAGTGGCAAAGAGAATTTTAGCTTCTGTTAATTTTGTAGGTCTACAACTGAACCACTAATAGCAATCATAATGAAGATTTGCCTTTGTCCAAGAATTAGGAAGTCTTCATAACATCATTGTACATACTACCTTACACAGATTCCCTCACTTGATTTTAGACATACCCAGTATTTCGGTATATCTAAATCAATGAAGCCAAGACACAGTTATTGAACTTTCTGAAAATAAGTTACAGAAGCAAAAAAAAAAAAAAAAAAACAAAAAACAAAAACTGTAAAGGCTCTTCCTGCCATCCGATGCCCAGCAAGCGTTTTTTTTGCAAGGAGGCAGTACTTGTTGGTCGACAGGCGACTGAATGAAATCTGCGGGCTTCCTCTACTGCATTTCGGAGGATGAAACATTGCCCAGCTTATTATTATTATTATTTTGCAACTAACGTACATAGCTTGGCAATACACCGTGAAATCGACTTTCTCTATGAAACGTTCAAACTGGCTCCTGATGCGGTGCAGCGCGGGTGGCTGGGGAGGAGCTGAGCCCCGCGGGGCGCGATGAGCCCCCCGCGGGACCCCCAGCAAATGACAACCCCGGGGTCACGGTTCGGATCTGTCAGAAGGCGTCGGCCGGCTTCTCCGCGGCGCCGCTCCGAGGGGTGGTCTTCGACCTCCGCCTCGTCTTTCCCCTACCCCACTCGAGCCGGGCGGCGGAGGGGCAGAGCCCGGTCTCCCCGCGCCCCGAGGGGCGAACCGCGCACGACGCGACCCGGCCCGCGCCGCCATCTTCCCCCGGGTCCGACCCCAACCGCCAGCCGCGGGGCCAGGGACCGCGTCTCTCACCTCTCCTCGCACTCTTTGCACTTCACCAGCAGCGGAACCAGCTGCTGGAACAGAACCTGGCTCATGTTGGACCACTGCTCCGGCGAGGGGTGCGGGAAAGTCCAGCAGGCCGGGCCCGGGAGAAGCAGCCCGAGAGGCGACCTGCGGCGGCCCGAGTTTGAGTTTGGCGCTCGGCTTCCGCGGAGGAGGCGGGGCCAGAGAAACGGAGGGAAGACAGGGGAGGTTTGGGCCTTGCCGGCCACCGTCGGCGCCTTCCGGCCCGTGCGGAAGTTAGGCGGGCAATTCCGGGCTTCGACTACGTGGTGGCGCGGGCGTGGGGAGCCGTGGCGGCCATCTTTGTTAAGGGAAGGAGGCCCTGGGGAAACTGACAACTTTTCCTCTCTGGGCCCGAGGCTTGCCACCCGCTGGGAGCCGTGAGTTATGGCAGCTTCTGAGCCGACGCCACCCGCGACTGGCTTTCCAGCCGAGGGTCGATGCGGGTACTTTGTGGAAAAGAAGAAGAGGTTTTGCAGGATGGTGGTGGCGGCAGGGAAAAAATTCTGCGGGGAACACGCCGGAGCTGCCGAGGTCTGGTATCGCCCTACCCTTGCGGGAGTCGGGAATGAGCTTCCCTGTGCCGCACCTCCGCGGGGGCAGGTTCTGCCTCTGTGCCTTCGAGTGTCCTGCTTTTCCTTTAGGCAGTGCAGCCCTGCCCTCCTCGGGGGGTCAGCGCTACCGAGCGCCAGGGCCGTATTTCCTTTTCCTAAGCCAAACGCCAGAAGGGATTCGTTTTACTCGGTGCTCGGATGACGCTGGATTTTCGTTTGAACCCCGAAACTGCGCTGCTTACAAACGCGCCCCCTCCCTCCACTTTTTCCAGTGGGAAAGTGTTTTCCTGAATTGAAAAGGAGTTCGGGTATCGGGAGGCTGGGGGATGCCCGCACTGCGTTCTCATCGACTCTGCAGTGATCATCTCTCCTGGTGGAACGAGATTGAAAGGAAATTGGTTTCAATGTTCCTTTAGGGGCTGGAGAGAGAGTGCTTTGGGAAAGGCACTGCCCTGACCCGTGTTCGATCACTGGCATCCCTTTAGCCCCCCGAGCAGTGCCAGGAGTGATTTCTGAGTGCGGAGCCAGGAGTAACGACCCCTGAGCAAATTTTTGGAAAGCAGTTATTTATCACCGTCGTGCTGGCTTTGGAGAGATGTAAAAGCATGTCAGGATTGGCTCTTTCTGGATTGAGTAATTGAGACCAGAAAACATGTGGTTTCAGTTGATGGTAGTTGTCCATTTCCTTGTACTGTCAAAGCCTCGATTTTCGTGGATGTCTGTTTATTTAGAACACAGATGGCATGGTGACAACAAGGAGCAGGGGCGGTGGGTCCGCAGTAGTGGCTTCCGTGTAGAGCCCTGGGTTCCATTCCCAGCAGCAGTGAATGAATGAAAAACGAGCAGAATGCTTATAGAAAATTAACACGGAAAGATCAATGAGCATGCATCTGGTTTTTGTGTTTCCTTTAATTTTTTTGTTCAGTGGATGACTTATTCTTGCGGAAGGTATTCTTGAGGTTCCCTTACAAACCATTCCCTAGAGCCCGTGCATCTGCTGCAGATTTTCTTTGCCTAGTGTTTGTCCAGAGATCAGCACCCTGAAGACCATATTTGGGGGAGGCAGAAGACCTATGATTTGGGGGAGAGTTCTCTGCAGTGCCCCCACAGTTATATCGACTGGTTTTAAGGGGATCATGGGCATGAGATTATGATGGAGAATTTTGTTGTCTGCTCCAAGATGGAGAAAAGTAAACTAGACATCTAGGAAGTGACCCCAGATTGTGGCAGTCACATGGAATGAAATCCTCACATTCTGAGTGCTCCTGGAGAGCTGTGACATGGTGTTGGTAGCTGCAGGAAGGAGGGAGGAAGAAGAACTGTCGGGGGGAAGGCTGAAGAACACCAAATGCCACACTTCCTCTGACCACAGTTTTTTCAATTGTGGGCCTCCTGCTTGATCTGACTTGTGATACAATTGTGTGTCCATCTTACTCTCTTTTCTTTTTTGGTGGGGGTGCTCCCCATCAATGTTCTGGAACCACTGCCAACATACTGGACCACTGGAGTCACACTTGGAACTCAGGGGACCATGTGATCTTTCCTGGCCCCTCATTATTTCTTAGCAAGAGTTTATAACAGCTGAGACTCTTGTACTCATTTTTACCCAGTGATTCCCAACTGGAGGTGATTTTTGTCTCCCAAGAAACTAGGCAATGTTTGGAGGTGTTTTGGAGACTGAACACTTAAGCGTTCCAGAGGCCAGAGAGCTTCTAGCTCAGTGAGCTCAGTACAAGCTTTCTGTGCAGGTTTAATCCCCAGCACCACCGAGGCCCCCGAATGCCAGCAGGAACACATCCGAACACTGAACATGGAGTAGCCCAAAATGAAAAAATTAATTAAAAATAGTTTGAAAAGCGTGTACTTTGAATCGAATGGCCGCTCACCAGAGATGCACCTAAACCAAACACCCTGTACATCATAGCCCCTCACACAAAAGAATTATGAATTATTGGACCCGACTGACAGTAGTGGCAAGGTTGAGATACCTTGTTTCTAAACTCAAGTACTGAACCTTGAGAATCTGCACAATGGTTATGCTTTGAGGGATCAGAATAGCGCTCAGGGATTACTCCTGGTGGGACTCCAGGGGGCCATACATGGTACTAATGATCTGACCCAGGTTAGTAGCATGCAAAGCAACCACCGTGCAAATCAGCTACCCTGTGCGCTGTTCTAAAGGTTCAATTTTTAAAGCCAGCAGATACAAAAAAGCAATATCACTACCAAAAAAGAAAAGAAAAGGACTTAGCTTTCTTATGTTTGTCAGTGTACTTAGTTTTGTTACTATGATATTCGGTGAACTTAGTTTTGTTACTATGCTTGGAGGCAGATCAATACTACAATAAAATGAAAACACTATGTTAAATGATGAAAGGGACACCTGACTTTCACTCTCTATATAGCTAGCAGTGTGGCAAGCATTTTTAACTTTAGTTCACTTAATTGACACAAAACTCAGGTAAGACACACTATTTTTTCTTTCAGAAGAGGCAGTAAGTCTTAGAATTGGGAACTACTAGATAAAATTGAGTGCCATGGGCTGGGAACACAGCAGAAAGAACTGGACACATGCTTTGCATGCAGTGGCCTGGGGTCAACCCTCAACACTGCAAGGTCATCCCAAATTCCTGAGCCAGGAGTAGACCCTGAACATCACTGGATATGGCCTAACCCCCTCCCAAAACAGAAAAACAAGGTCATACCTAGGAAATCTTACTGATCTGTGGTTTTAACTATCATACAATGTTGTTGCATTCGGATTAATATAAACATTGAATAGACTTGCCAGCTATTAATTTTCATTTTTCCTGGAGCATGTAGTAAAGTCCATGTGTCTTAGGATTAAGCAGTATTTGACTTGGCTTTACTGAAAAGTTGCAAAGCCAGTAGAATCTAACCACATACAGATCCTTAAAGTGCCATATTTCACTGCTTTTCAGACACTCCCCACACGTGTACATCGTAAAGCCAATGAAATGTTGTAATTTCATCGGTAGCATTTTTTTCTTAGTGGTTTCTAAAATAACAGTGTATAAGCTTATAATTACACTAAAGTTAACTGTAATTAATGAACATTATATTTTATTTAAGTAAAAATATCCTTTTTTCAGAGAGTGAACAAAAGGGAATGCCCTGCCACAGGCAGGATGAGATGGGGGGATGGGGGGCAGGAGGGATACTGAGATCATTGGTGGTGGAGAATGGGCACTGGTGGAGGGATGGATACTCGATCATTGTATAACTGAAAGCCGAGCACAAAAATTTGTAAGTCTACAACTGTACCTCAAGGTGTTTCACTAATAAGAATTAAAAAAAAATACCTTTTTTCTCTCTAGGAAGAAAATTCTCGGAAAAGAATACTATGTCCTTTAGATCCAAAACAGTAAGTATGGGTCAAATAAGGGAGATTTTCACTGGTCTTATTTTAAATAATTTTCTGTGTTAGAAGTAGTTAATTGTCCCTAGCCTTACTTTATATCATTTTCTCTTTAATTTTAGCACCGTATATGAAGATCAACTTGCAAAGCATTTGAAAAAATGTAACTCAAGAGAGAAGCCAAAACCTGTAAGTGTTTAATCAGTAAAACTGGTAATAAGTGTGCCATATTTTTGGTTTAAGACCTTATGTATAACTGACATAGAATTCATGGCAGTGAAAAAAGTGTCATGACATGAAAGGAAACTGGGGAATTGGTGGAAGGAAGGTAATACTGGTATGTTGAAAAGATGCCTGAAACAACTGTATTATGAGCAACTTTATAAATCACAGTGTTTTAATAGAAATAATTTTTTAAATGTCATGACAGTTTAAACTGACATGGTTAAAAATTTAATTAAAAGTATTAAAGAGGGCTGGAGCATTAGTATAATGGCTACTGCTGTCCTGGGTTTGATCCCCTTATACCCTTTAATGGTCCCCTGAACCCACCTAGAATGATCCCTGAGTGCAGAGCTAGGAGTAAGCCCTGAGCACGGACAAGTGTGGCCCAAAAACAAATAACTAAACAAAAGAATTAGAATATAAGAGTCAGAGAGATAGCTCAATGGACTGAGAGTTTGACTTTGCATCCCTAACCCCACATTGTCCCCTGCACGCAACTCAAGCACAGAGCCAGAAGTCATTCCGAGCACCATCAGGTAGCACTGTAGCACTGTCTTCCCATTGTTCATCGACTTTGCTCGAGCAGGCACCAGTAACATCTCCACTGTGAGACTTGTTGACTTGTTGTTACTGTTTTTGGCATTTCGAATATGTCACGGGTAGTTTGCCAAGCTCTGCCGTGCTGTCGAGATACCCTTGGTGGCTTGCCCGGCTCTCCGAGAGGGACTGAAGAATCAAACCCGGGTGCAAGGCAAATGCCCTACCCACTGTGCTATTGCTCCAGCTCACCACCAGGTATAGCCCAAAATAAATAGCAAAATGAATGATAAAGTTCTTAGATTATAAACGTTTATTTAGATAACAACCCTACTGGAATATAAGATCTATAAACTGAGGCTGGAGAAATAGTACAGCGGGTAGGGTGCTTGATTTGCACATGGTTGACCTGGGTTCTGTCGTCCCTACCTCAGGTGATCACCCACTGGGAGTGATCCTTGAATAAAGACCAGGAGTGAACCCTAAGCATAGGGGACTGTGACTTCCCTCACCAAAAAAAAGATCTGTAAATTCAGACATTTTTGTCCCTTTTTTTTGGACTTTGGTGAATCATTACCTGCAGAAGGAAAATGAAGGACTGTAGTACATACTCAGTAATTATTTAACACATAAAGAAGGAAAGATGGCAGATAGAGTATAAAGGTAGAATAGAGTTTTCAATTTATTTTTTATGAGTTTTCAGATTAATAACAGAATTGCTATGGTTTTCCTTTGTTTTTGTTAAGGACTTCTTTATTCAAGATATTAATGCAGGCTTAAAAGATGAAACCGAAGTACCTGAACATTTAGTAAGTACTTGGCTAAATATTCAGCTTTTTATTTATGAGCTATCTCCATCTTGTGATTAACCAGGTTCCCATTTTTGTTTGAAATAAATCAGTGTTTTGGCTTTAAATTCATTTCTGGAATCAGTGTTATTAAAGTAATTAGTTCCCAATACTTGTTCATGCTCTATTTCTGTATATAGGTTCCAATTTCTTCTCTCTCTGAAGAGCAATTGGAAAATTTAATTAAGAAATTGAGAGAAGTATGTAAAGGTAAGCTTTTTAAAAAAAAAAAACTGATGTATTTAGGTGGTTTATAAATTGATATTAGTATGACTTAGGTTACTGCCATTGTCGTAGAGACTTGATGGGTTTTTTGTTTATGTAAACTATTATGTTTATATTTGGCACAGGTTTGAATTCTACACTTAAAAATCAAATTCTGTCCCATCCAGCACTGCATGATGTTCTTAATGACCCTAAGAATGGTGATTCTGCAGCCAAACATCTAAAACAACAGGTATATTTAGGAAATAATAACTCTGTAGAAAATGGCATTTTGCTCATTTGCGTAACCTACCTTGGATTTATTTCTAAATATAAAGGTAAAAAAGGTAAAGGCCCTCCCGTTGATCGTCGATTTGCTCGAGCGGGCCCAGTAACGTCTCCATTGGAGACTTTGTTGTTACTGTGTCTGGCATATCGAATACTCTCGGTAGCTTGCCGGGCTCTCCGAGAGGGGCGGAGGAATCGAACTCGGGTCGGCCATGTTGGCCGCTTGTAAGGCGAACGCCCTACCGCTGTGCTATCGCTCCAGCCCTTCTAAATATAAATGTTTTTAAATTTATATTTATTTCTAAATATAAATATAAAGCTAGTAATGCAATTCTGAACAGTTTACCTTTCAATTAATAAAAATAAATAAGCATATAGAATAAATTTTTGCATAGACCTGGGTCTGCGTACTCTATAATTTTAAAAACTAGAGGAAAAAATTATGTCGAGGAGGTGGTGCTGAAAAGTGGTATGTCTGAAAGACTATCAGCAACAGGACTATAAAACATTTTGCAAAACTAAGGAGTGGAAGAAGCTCTTTTGTCAAAGCAGACTGGGGTGTGGGAAGTGAATGCGTGGCAATAAAGAAATTTCGGTGGAAGGAAGGAGACATTGATGAAGGGATGGTATTGAAACACTGTATGCCTGAAACCCAATTATAAATAAGTATGTAACTTCATGGTAACTAACTTTAAAAATAATAGGCAAATATTAAAAAAAATATTATGTTAAAAATGACCAATTGAACATGTTTCCTCATTTAGTAACTACCTTGTTATTTTCCCATTTGAGACCAATGTTTGCTCTAGTATGTAAAATAATCTGTAAGTTTGTAGGCTTCTATTTTAGGCAACATTGAAAAATTAAAGTTACTTGGTCCAAGAAGATGCTTTGTTGAGTTTGGCGCAGGAAAGGGAAAATTATCTCATTGGGTTGATATTGCCTTAAAAGATGCTGAACAAGTTCATTTCATCCTTGTGGAGAAGGTGACCACAAGATTCAAGGTAAGAGAAACCATTGCAGTATATTAGTAACCAAATGTTTACACTTTTTTTTAAAAGGGGGGGGGAATCAAATTTCTTAAAATATATTTACAAAATCAAGAAAAAATATGGAAAGAACCAAGTTCAAGCCAAGAGTTAGAATCCAGAGGCCAAACCCAGCACCCTGCAGGGAACAATCCTGAGCTCAGAGCTGGGAGTAGTCCCAAGAGCCACTGCTGGTATGACCCCAAAATATACACAAAAAAGTCCTATGTCCTAACCTCTCTCTGCCGCTTACTAACTATACATTCACTAAATGCTGAGCATACCAGTGGGCACCTTGATAGACATTGATACATAAAGTCCCAATGTTCTTTATTGTTTATGTTCAGAAGTGATAGACAAATAGATAAAGTAATGCTGTTTTAAAAGTTAAAATTTTAGGAAAAAATCTACACAAAGTAGTGTGGGTTCGAAGAAGGGACAAACAAGTTTGACTAAAAAAAACAGGGATGGTGAGGGGGCTGGAACAATAGTACAACGAGTAGGATGCTTGTCTTGCGTGCAGCTGACCTGGGTTCGATCCTCGGCATCCCATGTGGTCCCCGGAGCAGTGCCAGGAATGATTCCTGAGTGCAGAGCCAGGAGTAACCCTTGAGCATTGCCAAGTGTGGCTCCAAAATTAAAGAGTCTAAAAGTTGAAATCAAGAGCCTAAGATAATTGCTACCTAGTAATCTAAGTAAGTCAGAGCAAAACGGTTGTGAAGACAAGGAAAAGAGAATAAAAAAACTCTGCCCTGTTGGAAACCACAGACGTGGTAATTTTAGTGTTCATTGTGACAGAACTTATTCCTCAAGAAGTTTTTTCCATTTTAGTTTATGGCTTGTTTGACTAAGTGATGCACTCGCCTGAGATTGCAGATGTGGAAGGAGTAAGAGGAAGAATGGGCATGGCAGTAGAGAGCAGTTCTGAGTGAACATGCTGTTGGAGTGAAACTTTAATTTGCAATTGAGTATATGTTTGTTCCTCAGAGAAATCCACACCACAGTGGAATTTTTTTTCTTTTTGGGTCACACCCAACCATGCTTAGGGGTGATTCCTGAATCTGCACTCAGGAATCACTCCTGGCAGTGTTCAGGGGACCATATGGGATGCTGAGGATCAAACCTGGGTCTGCCATGTGCAAGGCCTTACCCACTGTACTATCACTCCAGCTCCCAGAGTGGAATTTTGGTTTTGGTTTGGTTTGGTTTGGTTTGGTTTGGTTTGGGACCACACCTGGCAATGCCCAGGGGTTACTCCTGGCTCTGCACTCAGAAATCACTCTTAGAAGTGCTCAAGTACCATATGGAATGCTAGGGATCGAACAACATGCGAGGCAAGTGCCCAGGTCAGCTACATGTGAGGCAAATGCCCTACACACTGCATCATCTCTCAGCTGAGAGATGATGCATAAATAGCTGAGTATGATGAGATTGGTTCTTTCAGGAAGAGTAAGAAGAGCAAGCCAAAAATAACAGTATAAGTACTTGCAAAGATAAAAGAGCTATCAAATCGTCTTAGATAAGTACTTAATCTCTGTGAATATTTGTTCATCGTTGAAACAGAGTTTTGTAGTTAAAAGAAATGATTTATACATAATAATTTCTAAAATACTTAAGTGCTGTTTGTTCATTAGTGCTGTTTGTTTACCATAGCTAGAGTCTGGAAAAAACCTGAGTGCCTGAGAACAGATGACTGGTTAAAGAAACTTTGGTATATCTACACAATGCAGTACTATGTAGCTGTTAGAAAAGATGAAGTCATGAAATTTACATACAAGTGGTACTACATGGAAAGTATCATGTTAAGCGAAATGAGTCAGAAAGAGAGGGATAGACGCAGAAAGATTGCATTCATTTGGGGAACATAAAGTAACAAAATAGGAGACTAACACCCAAGAATAGCCAAGATAAGTCCCAGGAGATTTACTCCATGGCTTGGAGGTCAGCCGCACACTCTAGGGGTAAAAGCAGCTCAGATAGAAAAGGGAGCACCAAATAAAGGGTGTTGGGAAGATCTGCCCATGTTGGGAGATGCATGCTGAAAGTAGACTATAGACCGAACATGATTGCCACGCAATGCCTCTTTTGCAAACCACAACACCCAAAAGGAGAAAGAGAACAAAAGGGAATGTCCTGCCACAGAGGCAGGGTGGGATGGGGGGGTGCGGGGTGGAGGGATACTCGGATTAGTAGTGGTGGAGAATGGGCACTGGTGGAGGAATGGGTACTCGATCATTGTATAACTGAAACCCAAGCACAAAAATTTGTAAGTCTACAACTGTACCTCATGGTGTTTCACTAATAAAAATTAAAAAAAATACTTAAGTGCATAAAAATGTTAGCTCTGTTGGAATTTTCTTAACATTTTTAATTAGTGCCAGAGAGAGAGTTCGGGAGGTAGGGCACTTGCCTTGAATACTGTTAACCCCAGTTCGATCACCAGAACTATATATTATCCTCTGAACACTGTCGGGGTCACTACTGAGCACAGAGCCAGTAATGGCCCCTGAGTATTGCCTGGTGGGGCCCCAAAATTCTCCACAAAAAAATTTGGGTTTTTTTTTTGTTTGTTTGTTTGTTTTTTGCTTTTTGGGTCACACCCGGTGATGCTCAGGGGTTACTCCTGGCTCCTGCACTCAGGGATTACTCCTGGTGGTGCTCAGGGGGCCCTGTGGGTGCTGGGGATCAAACCCGAGTCAGCCTTGTGCAAGGCAAACACCTTACCTGCTGTGCTATCACTCTGGCCCCCAAAATTTGTTTCTCTTAATGATTGTTTTTTTTTTTTTAAGTTTTATTTTTTAGTTACAGCTTCAGTTTACTTTGTTTTGGTCCACTCCCAGGAATGTCGGGGCTAGTCCCAGTTGGCTGCTTCGTTGGCTCCTGGCAGTTCCAAGGGGGACCTAGGGATGAAACCAGTTCTGCATGTAAAGCGTGCACTCAGCCTGATGGACTCTCTCTCCAGCCTATAATTCTAGTTTTTAGTACTAAAATGTTAGAATGGAAACTTACTCTGAACTTTGAAAGCCCTCAGAAATTTATTTTTATAAAATAGTTCACAATCTTTGATTACATTTAATATTCAACACCAATCCCATCACCTTTATACATTCCCACCACCATATTATTTGGGATGTTTCCATCCTGAACCCCAACCCCTGTCCCAAAGCAGAACCAAAATAATTTATTTTGTATAGTCTGTTATGAATAAACTGCTGAAAATGCTCCAAAAGAGTTCCCTTAGAGGAAAATGTGTAATGATTGTTGTATTTCATCCAGGGGCCATTACTCCCTTCTGTAAGAGATTACTAACATGTTTTAAAGGCCGAGCCTTGTGAACTTGGATAGATGGATAGATATAAGTATATAGATACATGTCTGTAAAAATATATTTTGCCCTCAGAAATATTTTAGCATGAATCACCATTACCATACTTCTATCCTGTTTGTGCAGGTAGACGGCAAACATAGGAAGAAAAATTCAGTGTTTGAAAGACTGCAAATTGATATCCAGCACTTGTGTTTGAGTAAGTTGTGAACCTTCGGTTGCTTTACCTTAAATCACAGAAGTTTCAAAGCCTGGGGTTGTTTAGAAACAATCAAGCCAAACACCATTTTAAGGAACTAAAGTAAAAGTAACCCTAGTTATTAATAAGTTATATAGTGATTAATAACTGTTATTATTAACAACAGTAATTTTTCTGGTGTTAACGCAAACACAGGACTGTCTGGGAAGGAAGCTCAAAGAACTGAGGCTCAGTTGTTGCAAACTTGAGGGTGGGATTCTGTCCCCAGTACCACCAGGATCTGCCCACAAGCATGGAGCCTGAGTAGCCCCTGAGCACTTCCAGATGTGACCCCAAAACAAAACAAAGAAAACCACAATAAAAACAACAAAGTCTTACTCCCCTCAGTCCAGTGACCTCTAGTTTTACCTGCTCCAGACAATCAATCTACAGTGGCAAAGAAGTAGGATTTTTACAGCTTAAATAAACGTTCCAGGGGCCAGAGAGATAGTGCAGCCGGTAGGGTGTTTGCTTTGCACACAGCCAACCTGGGTTCAATACCCAGTACCACATATCGTCCTCCTGACCCTACCCCACCACCCACCAGGTTCACCACTGGATGTGGCCGGAACAAAAGTGCTAAAAACAACAAAATTTTCTACCAACATTATTATCGCCATTTTGGGTCTATTGCCTAGGCACCTGACATGCAGCTCCTCAGTCTTTGGGGGATTTGTAGGAGGTATTTGGTTTAGTCTCAGCCTTTCCACGTTTTCCTTTTTTTCCTTCAAGAGGTTGGGGGTTTATACTGGTTTATTTGTTTATTATTGGGCTGTACCTGATGGTGATTCTGCATTCAGCCATCACTCCTGGCAGGGCTCAGGGGACCGTATTGGGATGCTGGAGAACAAATTCAAGTCAGCCACATGCCACAAACAACCTACCAGGTGTACTGTCTCTCCATCCCCATTTTATCCGGACTTTTTGTTGTTTGGGGGCCACCCCTGGCAGTGCTCAGGGCTTGCTGCTGATTCTATGCTCAGGAATCATTTCTGGGAGTCCTGGGTGGATTGGTAGACCTTGTGGTGCCATAGATCAAGCCCAGTCTTCCTGCTGTACTATCTATCCTGTTCATCTTGAAATACTCTAAACCTCTGCATTCCCTGATACAAACTCACTCTTCAACTTGAAGAGGTGCCCATTTCTGCTAGTACCTAATACTATCTGAAGTCAAGGAATAGGAAAGTTGGGATATTCACTCCGTCCCTTCATTGGACCGTAGACGGTGTTAGATACTAGTTGGGTTTGAAGAGGTGAAACATCCTTTTCAGTTGAGACTGACCCTGAGCTGGGAGTAGCCCCTGAACACTTCTGGCACAGACCCAGAAACAAAACTAATTAAAATTAGATGGAAGAAAATGGAAGCCATGCTAGTATAATACATTTTTCTGAATTATCTTGCAGACAGTTTGGAGTTTTGTTTGTTTGTATGGTTTTTTAACTTTCATAGGATGCAGTAAGCTCTTTTTTGGAACAGTATGAAAAGCGAAGATATTCTTGATCATCAAGACTTATTAAAGGCCAGAGTAGTTATATGGGCTGGAGAAATGGTACAGAAGGTACAGGATTTAACTTACACACAGACAACCCAGGTTCGATCCCTGTGATGCATATGGTCATCCAGGCACTACTGGCAGTGGCTCAAGAACTAAAAAGACAAAATAATAAAGGATCTAGTATGCTTATAACAGTGAATTGAGTACTTTGTTATATATATGTTGATTGTATTTTACTTACATTTATAATATTTGTGTGTCTTCTGGTAAGGAAAGTTTTAAGGTCCTGTACTATTGATTTAATAATCTTTAGCAAAGTAAATCATTTTGGCATTGGGATCACACCCAGCAGTGCTCCAGGCTCACTCCTGATGCTACACTTTCAGGGGTCACTCCTAGCAGGGCTCAGGAGACTATATGTGGTGCCAAGGATCAAACCCAAGTTGGCCATGTGCAAGGCAAACAGCCTACCCACTGTACTATCGCTCTGACCTCCAGCAAAATAAATTTTATACAAGGGAAAGGCCTTCAGATAGAGGAAATAGCTTTGCCTTAAGGGTCAGGAAACTTTAATACTCTATCACCAGATACCTCTGTTACTTATCAAGTTATTACATCCCTGAGATTCTTATTCCTTAGCTATAAAGTGTCAATTTTTTGCTTGCTTCAGTCCTAAAATTCTTATACTTTCTCTTAGAGAGCAACCTTAATGACTTGTTGTAACAAAAAAACTAACTGAACTGTCATTCCTTTCATTTCAGACAAGATTCCAATATTGAACAAAGAAAAACTACCAGTAGTCGGAATTGGAAAGCATCTTTGTGGTGCAGCAACAGGTAAACACACTAGTAATGTCTAGAGCACAATAACTTTTTCTTAATTGAATCACTATGAGATACACACTTACAAAGTTGTTCATGATTGGGTTTTGGTCATACAATACTCCAGCACCCATCCCTTCACCAATGATCATTTCCCACCACCAATGTCCCAGTTTCCCTCCTGCCAGTCTTTCTCCTCTCTCTCTCTCTCTCTCTCTCTCTCTCTCTCTCTCTCTCTCTCTCCACTGTCTCTCCTTCTCTCTCTCTCCTCCTCTCTCTCTCTCCCTCCCTCCCTCTCTCCCTCTCTCCCCCACCCCTTTTTAGGCACTGTGATATGTAATACTGTTACTGAAAGGGTCTTATTTATACTATTTTACTTCCTTTCAGCACTTAAGTCTTGTCCAGAGAGATTTCCAGTTATCATTGTCTTTGTGGTCCCTTCTCTGCCTTAACTGCCCCCCCCCCTCCCAACTTGTGGCACAATTTCAACCATGGATTATAGGACACACTAACTTTTAGCAAAACATGGTCCCTGCCATTTAAGTAATCCTTTAAACAATCCTGTATTTATGTCATTTAACATGTGCAATTGATTAATCTTCACTGATTCATCTTCTGATGGGCATTAAACTCTTTGAGATAAAACTTTGATGTTTCCTGCTCGTTTTGGCCGTTTTGAGGGATGGATTAAGAATTTTATGAGCCGGGGCCAGAACAACAGTACAGTGATAAGATGCTCGCTGTGTTCACGACCGACTCAAGTTCAATCCCTGGCACCCCATCCAGTCCCCTGAGCACTGCCAGGAGTGAACCCTCAGCATAGCCAGGAATAGCCCCTCCCAAATTTCTTCAAAAGTTTTTTAAGTTTATGTACAGGGTTGTCTTAGTAGTAGGCACATGTGGAGCCCAAGCCCTGTAAGTAAATAAAATAAAATTCTGTACTTAGGCTAGAGAGAGAATTCAGTGAGCTGTGGCCCAGGTTCTATCCCCAGTGCTGTGTGTACCCCCAGCACTGCCAGCAGCAAAGCATTAATGGGAACAGCCCCTAAATACTATCAGGCATTACACAAGAACAAATCAAACACAAGAGGAGGGAGATGTGTGAAAATGCCTGTGAATCTAAACTTTTAGGGGTTACATGTCAACCAAAAAAGAAGCAATTTAACGAACTTGTATGGTTTTTAGGTGGTTTTCAGCCTTATCTTTTTTTATTTTTTTTTTTAATTTTTATTAGTGAGACACCATGAGGTACAGTTGTAGACTTACAAATTTTTGTGCTTGGGTTTCAATTATACAATGATCAAATACCCATCCCTCCACCAGTGCAATTTAACGAACTTGTATGATTCCACCAGGCACTCATTTGATATTTTTAGCGGAATTGGTTGGGAAAGGCTCGATAGCTTATCTCACCACGAGATCCTTGTATATTAGAATGTGGGGGGGAAGAATAAAGTAGATAAAGAATCTGGACTCTCTGTCTCAGCTCTGCTCTCCCTCTCCTGGTGTGGTGGGAAGGAATGCATTGGCTGCAGTCAGGTTTGAGAACAGGTCCAACTATGCAGGATGACCTTGGCAAACTCCATAAACTTTGGCTCTCTTGTATGCGAAGCAAGAAATATATAATTTATCACATTACATGTAAAGTGTTGGCACATATTAGTGCCAATAAATAACAGCTATTGTTATTTTTTTCCTACTGGCTTCTGCTAGCTTTGTCCCCACCCTGATAAGGGGCTTGGAACCACCATCAAATATTATTCAGAATTTGCTGCAAAGTCTTTGAGTATTACCTATTTCTGTTGTCCTTCATGGTTTTTAGGTGGTTTTCAGCCTTATCTTTTTTATTTATTTTTTTAATTTTTATTAGTGAGACACCATGAGGTACAGTTGTAGACTTACAAATTTTTGTGCTTGGGTTTCAATTTGCTCAAGCGGGCCCAGTAACGTCTCCATTGGAGACTTTGTTGTTACTGTGTCTGGCATATCGAATACTCTCTCAAATACCCATCCCTCCACCAGTGCCCATTTCCCACCACCACGGATCCCAGTATCCCTCCCACCCCACCCCCCCCCCCATCCCACCCTGCCTCTGTGGCAGGGCATTCCCTTTTGTTCTCTCTCCCCTATTGGGTGTTGTGGTTTGCAAAAGAGGCAATGGGTGGCAATCATGTTTGGTCTATAGTCTACTTTCAGCATGCTTCTCCCATCCTGGGAGGATCCTCCCAACACCCTTTATTTGGTGCTCCCTTCTCTATCTGAGCTCCCTTTTCCCCTAGTCAGCCTTATATTTTTTCAGCCTTCTGAAGTTAGCCAGTTTCCTGCTGGAGAGGAATAAAGCATACTCCTTCCTTTCCATTTAAGTCATTTTTCTCAGATGTAAAATCTGTATTGGTCACTTCTAATGTTACAGTCTTTGACTCAATCTGTGTGAAATCATCCATCATCATTATTATACTGAAAACATCTGCTGCATTTGTTTATTCTATTTCCTTCTCTTTTTTTTTTTTTTTTTTGCTTTTGGCTCACACCCAGCAATGCTCAGCAGGGGCTCCCAGGAAATACTCCTGCTGGTGCTTGGGGGACCATATGGGATGCCAGGGATTGAATCTGGGTCGGCCACGTGCAAGGCAAACACCCTACCTGCTGTACTATTGCTACAGCCCACCTTCTCTTTTTGATTCTTCTTTTTGACTCTTCTTTCTTGATTCTTCCCCTGTATCTTTGGTATTCTTTCTCTTTTTTTCATGTTTTGTTTCCAGAATCAATCATTCAAATACTAATAGGGTGGATTACCCACTAAATTACCCACTAAATTTACTTCACCTTCTCAGATCTCAGTCACCTTCAGCAAAAAGTTTAAGGTGTTAGGGCCAAAGCGATAGATAGTCCAGCAGGCACTTGCCTCACTTGTGGCTGGCGTGGGATCAATCCCCAGCATCCTACATGGCGACCCAAGCCTGCCAGAGTGATTTCTTAAGCGCAGAGCCAGGAGTAAGCCCCTGGCTTACCAGGTATGACCCCTCAACACTCCCCCGCCCCACAAAAAAAAACTAGTTTAAGGTCTTTAACATGCTGTGCTGCTCTAAACTGGCCACTACTTTCTTCTTTGCCATTTCCAGCCTCAAACTTGACTGGCAGCAAATTCAAACTCTGTATATTTCCCATATGTTATACTCAGTGGGTTTCTAAACTTCTCACTTTCTGCTCTTCTTTCAGTTGCTGTCAACACTTTCTTTTTTTTTTTTTTTTTTTTTTTTTACTTTCATTTTTTTTTTTAATTTTATTTATTTATTGAATCACTGTGGGAAAGGTTACAAAGCTTTCAGGTTTATGTCTCAGTCATGCAAATATCAAACACATTTCCCTTTACCAATACTTATTTTTTTCCCATGAAGAACCCCAATAAAACCCCACCCCCCACCCCTCCCCGTCCCTGTGAGGCAGATGAATTCTAGTTAACACTCTATCCGCTTTGATTAGATTGTTTCAATAAAAGATTCACCACTATTATTTAGAGTTTACCCCCCCCCCCCCAAATCAGACATGCTGAAAAAGCATTGTGAAGTGATTTGCTTTCTCCAGCTGGGTTCAAGAATTGAATGTTGGTTTTGGATTTCTGCTATTTTACTTACTGACCCTGGAAGTATTTCTACTGAAAGTCAGATAGTTAAGAAATTGGTTTCTGTGTTCTGGAGTCGTGGCCGTGCTGGAGAGCCGCTCGTGGGGGGCAACTGGTGGCCTCGGTAGGGCGTGAAGGGCGGAGCGAAACGCCCCCCTTCCCATGAGGTTTTAGTCGCCCCCACACTCCCGGCTCATACCTGCTGTCCACAAGGCTCCCATGTGGCCGCCATCTTTCTTTCCAGAGAGGAGAGGGCGAATGGGGCAACACCCTTTCCCCTCCGGCAGACTTGATGGGCTGGATCAACGCATAGTCCATTCACTTTTCTGCTCCAAGCTGCTGGGTTCTGCATTAAGTCCTTGTGCTTCTGGGGCCATGGCCGTGCTGGAGAGCCGCTCGCGGGGGGCAACTGGTGACCTCGGTAGGGCGTGAAGGACGGACCGGAACGCCCCCCGACCCATGAGGTTTTAGTCGCCCCCACTCCCCCGGCTCATACCTGCTGTCCACAAGGCTCCCATGTGGCCGCCATCTTTCTTTCCAGAGAGGAGAGGGCGAATGGGGCAACACCCTTTCCCCTCCGGCAGACTTGATGGCCTGGATCAATGCATAGTCCGTTCACTTTTCTGCTCCAAGCTGCTGGGTTCTGCATTAAGTCCTTGTGCTTCTGGGGCCGTGGCTGTGCTGGAGAGCCGCTCGTGGGGGGCGACTGGTGACCTCGGTAGGGCGTGAAGGACGGACCGGAACGCCCCCCTTCCCATGAAGTTTTAGTCGCCCCCACACCCCCGGCTCATACCTGCTGTCCACAAGGCTCCCATGTGGCCGCCATCTTTCTTTCCAGAGGGAGGAGGGCGGAAGGGAGCAACACCCTTTCCCCTCTGGGCAGAAATGATTGCCTGGATTAACGCATAGTCCTTTCACTTTTCTGCTCCAAGCTGCTGGGTTCTGCATTAAGCCCTTGTGCTTCTGGGGCTGTGGCCGTGCTGGAGAGCCGCTCGTGGGGGGCAACTGGTGACCTCGGTAGGGTGTGAAGGACGGACCGGAACACCCCCCTTCCCATGAGGTTTTAGTCGCCCCCACACCCCCGGCTCATACCTGCTGTCCACAAGGCTCCCATGTGGCCGCCATCTTTCTTTCCAGAGGGAGGAGGGCGGAAGGGAGCAACACCCTTTCCCCTCTGGGCAGAAATGATTGCCTGGATTAACCCATAGTCCTTTCACTTTTCTGCTCCAAGCTGCTGGGTTCTGCATTAAGCCCTTGTGCTTCTGGGGCTGTGGCCGTGCTGGAGAGCCGCTCATGGGGGGCAACTGGTGACCTCGGTAGGGCGTGAAGGACGGACCGGAACGCCCCCCTTCCCATGAGGTTTTAGTCGCCCCCACACCCCCGGCTCATACCTGCTGTCCACAAGGCTCCCATGCGGCCGCCATCCTTCTTTCCAGAGAAGAGAGGGCGAATGGGGCAACACCCTTTCCCCTCCGGCAGACTTGATGGCCTGGATTAACGCATAGTCCTTTCACTTTTCTGCTCTAAGCTGCTGGGTTCTGCATTAAGTCCTTGTGTTTCTGGGGCTGTGGCCGTGCTCCAAACTTAACTCTGACTTTCAGGGAGAAAGATTGGGTGGTTTACTTCTCATTGATCACTTTGTATATAGAGAGATGTCGCGCGGCCGCATAAGCGGCCGCGCGGTTTTGAGAAAAAGTCCTCGTTCCCGCATACTCGAGCTGTGTTTGTAGAGGCTTCTGGTCACCGGGGTTCCATCTGGGGGAGGCGAGATGCGGCGCCTACTCCATCTGGAACTTGCGGGTGAACTTGGCTCTTTTTGGAACCTGTTTTTTCTTTTTTTTTTTCCTCCGGGATCCCGCACCCTCCATGTGTTCTTTCTCTTATGCTTAAGGCTTCAAAGATGGCGCTGGGGGGCGGGCTGTGGGCATGACTTCCGGAATCAGAGGTTACCTGGGAGGTGTAGTTCGGCAGATTTGAGAAAAAGTCCTCGTTCCCGCATACTCGAGCTGTGTTTGTAGAGGCTTCTGGTCACCGGGGTTCCATCTGGGGGAGGCGAGATGCGGCGCCTACTCCATCTGGAACTTGCGGGTGAACTTGGCTCTTTTTGGAACCTGTTTTTTCTTTTTTTTTTTCCTCCGGGATCCCGCACCCTCCATGTGTTCTTTCTCTTATCGTCAACACTTTCAGAGTACTTCCTTCAGACACTGCTATAACTTTATGAGCATAGGCAGTGATAACACAATGCTTGTTATAGAACAGGAACTCAGTAAATGTTTGAATAAATAATGTTTTCATTCAGGGACAGAAGGATAGTGCAGTGAGGAGGGTGTATGCTTTGTACACGGCTGACCTGGATTCAATCCCCAGAATCCCATATGGACTCCTGAGCACTGCCGGGAGTAATTCCTGAGTTCCGAGCCAGGAGCAACCCCTGAGCATTGTTGAGATTGCAGAGTGTGTCTCAAAAACCAAAAATAAATGAATAATGTATTCATTCAATTTATTCTTGGCAACCAACTTACTGTATTTCCTTGCCCTCATGATTTATGACGCTTTGTCCTTTAACTTGTCTATACAAAGAGGATTCAGATAGCTATAACGTCTGTTTTTTTAAATAACTACTTGGGGGGCTGAAGTTAGATTATAGAGGGTAGGGCACTTGTCTTGCATACAGCCAACCTGGGTTAGATCCCCAGCATCCTATATCCCACATGGTCCCCCAAGCCCTGCCAGGAGTGATTCCTGAGTGCAGAGCCAGGAGGAACACCTAAGCATTGCCAGGTGTGACCCAAGACCAAAAAGAAAAAACAAAAACAAAAAACCCAAAACATTATTCTTTTAATACTTTTTAATTTTTTTTGGTTTTTCAGACTTCTGAAAATCAGTTAAATTCAATATAAGCAAAACTATGAATGTGAGGCTGGAGAGATAGTACAGCAGGTACAGTGCTTACCTTGCATGTGCCCAACCCAGGTTCAATCCCCGTGCATCCCAGCAGTAATCCCTGGATGCAGAGCCAGGAGAAACCCTTGAACATCTCTGGGTATGACCCAAAAACTAAAAACAATAGAAAAACAATGACTGAATTTACCTTGTTTTCTCCAAATAATAGTTATCTGGTAATGTTTGATGACATATATATATATATATAATGACATAATATTACATATATATATAATATGCACATATTTGGGGGCTAGGGGGACATGCCCAGTGCTGCTCAGGGAACCATGAGGTCCTGTGGTCTGAACCCAGATCTACATGCAAGCATATGCTCAAGCCAGTCATCTACCTGCTCAGTCCTTAAATGCATATATACACTTTCCTACTAAAATAAAGATCATATAATATTTATTTGTGACATCTTAGGGTAATAAAAATTTTAAACCACTTGTTTTGCATTGAGTAGGCATGGGATAGCCATCTAATCAGACATAAAATGGGTTTTACAGCATATATTTGGATAGCAGCATGATGCTTGTCAAAATACACGGGTTTGGCAATGAGCATTTAATTCACTGAAGAATTATCAAAGCATAAAGCTAAGCTGGGCTTGGGTTTTTGGTGTTTTGATGTTGGTTTGGTTTTTTGTTTGTTTGTTTTTCTTCAGTTATTGGGTTTTCTTTTTAAAAAACCATGCTGCTTAATAAATGGAAAAATATTGATTTGTTAAAGATGATGTGGTTGGGGGGGTCACGTAATTGTGTTTGCAGATCTTGCATTACGATGTTTGGTTGAAACCTATGCTGCCAGTTATGAGGAAGGAAATGAAGAACCTTTAGCCAAACGCATAAAGAATGATAAAACAGAAAAAGGAATTAACCCTTTGGCCGAGGAAGGAAGTGAAAAAATTGTCCCAGAGAAGTGGACGCCGGTGGCTGGCATTGTCATTGCACTCTGTTGTCACCACAGGTGTGATTGGAGACATTATGTGGGCAAAGAATATTTCAAGACTTTAGGCCTTGGCGCAGTGGAATTCCACTATTTCCAGCGAATGAGTAGTTGGGCAACTTGTGGAATGCGGAAGACCCCTGCGGAAGCCTCAAACATTGCCATAGTGAGAAAAGACGGTCGGAACGATGATAGCGAAGAGCACGATGAGGAGGGCTGCACGGTCCCCGCGGGTGGTGTCGAGAGCACACCGGAGTAAGTGGCCGCACGGAATAAATGCACACACGCCATTGGGGCAGAACTGTTTTAATACTGCTCTAGTTTCTGCTTAGATACACATTACCTAACATTTATGAAAATATATCTTGCTATCTCGTTTTAGAATAAATTAAAATACACGCATTTTTTATTGTGGTCATATTATAGCACCTTGGATAATATGGATTATTTAGTAGCCGACCAATAAATAGAAGTGACCATTTTTTATACATTGTTACAAAAATTTTAACAGTGGTTTTTATGTGCTTATTTTAATTTAGGTTTCTTACTGTAGAAGAAAAGAAGAAAATAGGGCACCTTTGTAAATTGCTGATTGATCAAGGCCGAATCGAGTATTTGCAACAAAAGGGATTCAACCCTGCTCTGCAGTATTACACAGATCCTGTGGTGTCTTTGGAAAATGTATTGTTAACTGCTTTACCAACTCATTCATCATCTCCAGATAAAACTGTTTAAAGGAAACGAAATTTTGAACAACACCTGGCTTCCACCAAAAGGAATTAATATTTTACATTGTATTTTTATTGTATTTTTATACTCAAGAAAATTTCATTGAATAGCAGGTAACATCAATTTTAGAAAATGTTGAGGCCTCAGAAAATTTTTTTTTAAAAAGCTTTGATTTTTACTTGAGAATTTCAAATATTGAAGAAGTCACCAAATTCCCAAAGTATTCCATACATCAACAGGATATCTTGAATAATATTATCCTTCAGTATTTGAAGAGATTGGTGAAGTAGTGGAACTGTTGATTTGGTTATCTGAAACACACAACATATTGACACATAACTAGAATAGTAACTTTGTGTTTGCATTAATTTGGAAACTCGTTTTCTTTTTTATTTTCTTTAAGACTTATAATTTCTAAAGATCAGGACATACTGATCAGTTCTCAGTTCATGACAAGTCAAACTGATAATTTGGCTTATGTATGCATTGTGTTCCGCATTAAGACCTGAACGTATAATTAGAGATATGCAGAATCAAGTAAGTAATTCACCTTAAAATCCCCAGTCACACATGTTTCTGTCACTGGACAAACAGCAAAATAGACACAATTTCACTTCGTTTTTAAAATTGGTTATTTTTTGAGAACTTTCTAAGAGATACTTAGGACCCTAATTCACAAACTAAACTGAAATTTGCAAGTAAGTCCTCAGACATCTCCTATCTTTCAACATGCCACTTTTACATGTAGAAGTACATAATACATAGTTATGTTCCTGCCTTCTTAGGAAAATATTAAGTTTCTGTGCATAAGCATATATTAAACCAAATGGTAAGACTTCGGGGGCTTGAAGGAGTACTTCCCAAACTGCGCTTCTGAACGTGGGACTGCTTTGAGCAATGCTTAGTCACAGGCCAGCAGTTCACTGCTAGGACCTGTGGGACCAGGATTGGTTACCAGGCCACCTTGACAGTGCTTCAGGGCATTCAGGGCTACACCCAGTGATGCTGTGCAGTGCCAGGGATCCAGCCAGGGCCTCGTGCATGCTAGTATGTGCCCCAGGGACTGGGCTGTCTCCCAGCCCCAAGAACATTACAAAAATTGTATTCTTCAGTGGTACATTTGCCAAGATGAAAGATTCAGAATTGGGCCGGAGATTTAGTATTGTGGGTAAGATGCTGCCTTGCACATGGCTGATGGCGGTTTGATCCCCAGTCAAACCACATATGTCCCCCATGACCCACCAATAGTGACCCCTGAGCACAGGGCCAGGTGTACATGAACGAGAGAAATGGCACCACCGGGTGTGGCCCAGACAAAGTTCCAGAAAAACCAATTTTAAGTATAAAATGATATGATGATATTCTTAGGTAACTTTTCATCCTTTAGGTTCATGACTCTGTGAATTGTAAATTAGAAGGATAGCCTATTTCTAATTTCTGATCTTTCTAGTTTAATTTCACATGTTTTATAAGGCTGCCTATGTTCAGATCTCAGCTGTATGACCTTGGGTGGTAAATCTCTTTGTGCCTCGATTTCCTCTTTTCGTTATTTTTTTTTAATTTCTTTTACTTCCTCTTAAAAAAGGCATGATGTTGATGATGTTGATGGGGATGATGATGATGATGTCTCACAATGTTGTAAACATCAGATGAAATAGCACATGTGAAATGTTTAGAGAAACTCTGGCACAGAATGTTCAATAAATTGTAACTTATTAATGGTACTGATTTCATGTTTCTGTTTTAATAATAGGCAGGCTTTTAGTAACTCTTGTTTAACTTGTAGTCTTTTTTTATCTTGTTATGTTTTATGTAAAAGCTAATGAAATTGATTTTTCAAGAAGTTATTCATGTCCCCCAATGAAAAGAACATAAATGAAGATTGTGTAATAACTGATTCCAAGGGGAAGGAAATGCTAATTTTCTTCTCTTTTGAAACAATGCTGATTTTTGTCATAGTTTGTTTTGCATCATTCAACAATTTATGCTCAGAAGTAAAACACTTTCTATAGCAAGCAAAAGTTTGGTTGCATCTTATCAAGCTTAAATATACAAGATTACACTGATACAATCCTATATCAGTAAACTAAAAAATGTTATCCATTTAACAGTGATCTGTTTGTGAGAGTGTTCCCAAATACAAGGAAGTAAAGCTTGTCCTTCAACACATCAGCCATAGGTCAGGATTGTTTTTCCTCCCTAGTTTACTTCATATGAGAAGTATCCGATTCACTGAGATAAAACTGAAGCTCATCTACCTTTACCCACTATCTTTGCCTTTAAACCAGATCCTACACCTCATTTCCTAATCTCAGCCTCACCAGCCAGTCAGGTACTCTGACTCAGAGACCCCAAACCTATTTGGCCTACTGCTCTCTTTTCAGGGGAAAAAAAAAAACCCTGGAAAACTACCTTCATTTGGAGGGAAAGGGGAGTTTGGATCACATGTGACGATGCTCAGGGGTCACTCCTGGTGTGATGCAATCAGTAGTTACTCCTGGCGGTGCTTGGGGAACCGTATGGAATGCTTGGATTTGGCTGCATGCAAGGCAAACAACCTACCTGTTGTACTATTGCTCCGGCCCTTGAAAACCACCTTCTTTAAGCTAACAAATAGGAAATGGCCAACTTGGTCCATCCATCCATCATAGCCAGTAGTTACTATCAGTGGTGTCATCCACATTAGGAAGCAGTGCTCTCACAAAACATTCTTCCTCACCTTCCTTTTCTCGTCTTTATTCCTCAATTCTCCTGCTTTCTAAATTTGCCACTGTAGCATTGTCCTCCCGTTGTTCATTGATTTGCTCGAGTGTGCACCAGTAACGTCTCCATTGTGAGACTTGTTACTGTTTTGGCATATCGAATGTGCCACGGGGAGCTTGCCAGGCTTTGCCGTGTGGGCAGGATACTCTCAGTAGCTTGCCGGGCTCTCCAAGAGGGACGGAGGAATCGAACCTGGGTCAGCCGCGTGCAAGGCAAGAGCCCTACCCGCTGTGCTGTCACCCCAACCCATATTTGCCACTGCTTTCCAAACAAAACTATTACAGCTTTTTTTTTTTTTAGTTTCAAAACTATTACAACTTTTACTTCCTCCAGTCTGTCTTCCATGTCATTCCTGGGACCTTGCAAGGCAAATGCCCTATCCACTGTGCTCTCGCGCAATCAACCTACCTCCCAAAAAAACCCACAAAAATTCTTTCATCTGAAAAACTCTTGTGTTTTCAGACTATACTAATTCCTTGAAGTAACTATTTAATGATAAACTAAAATCTACCTTAATTTAAAGAAAACATTTTAGTGAACTACAAAACCATGATTTTTTTTTTCCTTTTTGACTCACACCCAGCGTGATGCACAGGAGTTACTTCTGGCTCTGAACTCAGGAATTACTCCTGGTGATACTTGGGGGATCATATTGGATGCTGGGGATCAAACCCGGGTCAGCTGCGTGCAAGGCAAATGCCCTCCCCGCTGTACTATCACTCCGGTCCCAAAACCGTGATTTCTAACACTGCTGTTGTTTCTAGTAACTAGCTTTTTTGTTTTGGGATCATACCCGGAAATGCTTAGGGGTTACTCCTGGCTTTGCACTGAGGAATTACTCCAAGTAGACTTGGAGGACCATATGGGATGCTGGAGATTGAGCCACTTTTGACCACATACAAGACAAGTGCCCTACCTGCTGTACTCTCAACAGGCCCCTTAACTAATGTTCTTATTAATAGATAATCATGCGTTTGGTCCTTTCTCCCAGATTTTGACTTAAGTTAAAAGCTTCTTTATTTTAAAAAGTGGTTTAATTCTTGGGGCTGGAGTGATAGCATAGAGGGTAGGGCGTTTGCCTTGCACGTGGCCGACCTGGGTTCGATTCCCAGCATCCCATATGGTCCTCCAAGCAGCACCAGGAGTAATTCCTGAGTGCCTGAACCAGAAGTAACCCCTGTGCATCGGCAAGTATGCCCCAAAGAGCAAAAAAAAAAAAAATTTTAAGTGGTTTAATTCTAAAGTATCAGAAACTAATGGAAATCAATTTCTCATGCCCTCATCTTTCATCTATTGGTAAAAATCTGTGTTCTCTTAGTGGTAAGTACCAAAGTACTAAGGTCAAAGGACCTGAGTGTGTGCTCTGCCTGAGTGTAGTTTATGTTCCTTAGTATTTATTTCTAGTCCAAAAAGAATCTGTGGATAGTATCAAAAATGGGAAATGACTGGGAAAGTATGTTTATGAAAATATACTGATATGTAATAATCTGGGAGAATAGGAATGAAACTTTAAGAGTTAACATTTTCATCATGCTTCAACTCTTTCAAAGAAGTTTATTTTCGTAGCTGGGGATTGCTCAGGGGTAGGGTAATTCTCACATATGAGCCTCGAGCTCAAGCCTGATTACTCCCTCCTCCCCCAAGAAAATGTCTTTTTGTACTTACTTTAAAAGACTAAATATCTTTACAGTCTCCCTCTATGCCTATAACAAAATTGTAAATGGATTTAAACTTCACTTTCTTCCACAGTATCCCAGGAGACCAGAATTTGACAGAAAATGTTAGAATGAGAACTCTATAAAGAAATTAACATGTCTGTATACACATTTCTTTACTGAAAAGAAGTTAGCCTTCATTATATACAAATCTCATACCTGCTTTTCTTCGTGATTCCTGTATATATAAGTGCATAAACCGCACTCCATACAATTCTTGTTCCTCTTCCTCATCTGTGTTTTCACTGGGAGGAAGCGTTACTTCTAGTTTCAGAGGGTTGTCTCTGAAGTTGACAAACCTAGCAGTTCATCAAAGGGGGAAAAAAAGCATTTTTAAAGGTTCCACAAAATGGAGCTAGAGTGATAGCACAACAGATACAGCGTTTGCCTTGCACGCTGCCAGTCAGGGTTTGATTCCCAGCATCCCATATGGGGTCCCCCGAGCACTACCAGGAGTAATTCCTGAGTGCATGAGCCAGGAGTAACCCCTGAGCATCGCCAGGTGTGACCCAAAAACTGAAAAAAAATTTAAATGTTCCACAAAAGTGTGCACTTAACTCCCTGGAGAAAGACCAGATGTCATCTAAATTACTCTTTTTAAACTGATTTCAATAATTGAACATCATGCAGAGATGTGATACACCCCAAGTTTCTGTGTGAATCTTATGTTCACTATTAGGAAAGAATTTTGGAAAGAAGATACTTGGAGAGTGTTTGATAGTAATTTAATGAAAGTTTTTCTTTTCTTTTTTTTCCTCTCTGTTGCATGTGTCTATTTGTAGTACTTAGAAGAAAAAAATTAAAATAATCACTTCTGGGGCTGGAGCAGTAGCACAGCGGGTAGGGCGTTTGCCTTGCACGCGGCCAACCCGGATTCGATTCCTAGCATCCCATATGGTCCCCTGAGCATCGCCAGGGGTAATTCCTGAGCACAGAGACAGGAGTAACCCCTGTGCATTGCGAGGTGTGACCCAAAAAACAAAAAACAAAAAAAATCACTTCTTTTAGATTTTAGGTGGTTTCATATAACTGATGAGATTATTTAGCAATTATTAAGATGGTTTTCATGAAAATGTCACTAAAGGATATTGCTGATAAATCTGATATAAAACTGATAAATCCCAGTGTGACTTTACTTTCAAAGATTCTTGAATAATTTAGATCATAATTATTTGAATAATCTATTCATCAATTACAGAATTTCAAAGTTAAAAATGTTTTTAGTTTATTCATTTATAAGAATGAGAACTCAAATCTGTGAATAGTAATTTATCTGTATTACTTTACTGTGTAGCCAGAAGGAAATAGTTTATATATGTGTACACAGCTTTTTACCTCAAGTTGGTCATCTCTTCCATACACTCTGGAATATCTTGTAGTTTATTGTTGGTGAGAACAAGAGTACTCAGATTTTTCATCTTGTTGATGGTTTCCGGCAAGCATGTGATTTCATTTCGTTGCAGCCATAGAGTATGAAGATTTTGCATTCTGAAGAATTCAAAAAAGTTTCTATGATTAATCACATAAAATATGAAAACTCTTGTTTCTATCAACTTAAAAGCAAAAGGGGTTAGGGATATCTCAGGAGCCCATGGGGCCGCAGCATTTGTACCATGGGTAAGGCATTTGTCTTGCAACAGTTGACCAGGGTTTGAGCCCTGGCACCCCAGATGGTTCCCTAAGCCTGCCAGGAGTGATCCCTGAGCACAGAGCCAGGGGTAAGCTCTGAACACAGCCTGGTATGACCCAAAACACAAACTGAGGAGGTAGAGCACATGCCTAGCATATGTGAGATCCTGAGTTCAGTTATCAGCACCGCCTGTCCCAACCGACTCTCAGACCCCTGCTAGTCCCTAAATATCACAGGGTCTCAGTGCTACACTACTGGGACAAGCTCTGCTGGAAGTGGCCCCTAATTTCTTTGAGAAAAGAAAAGAAAAGAAAGTTCGTGATCTATCTTTACCCAGGATATGTGCTCATTGACTTTATATTACCTGCCAGGGGCACTACATCGGGAAGTTTGTCTCTATAGTACAGCTCTCATCAGGTGGTGGTAGAAAGTTCTATTTTTACCATTGGTTCTATAATGCATTCTAGAATTCTTCACTATTCTCACAGAATTACGACCAATACATTCTAGAATTCTTCACCATTTTCACAGAAATAGGACCAATGCATTCTAGGATTCTTCACTATTCTAACAGTTTCTTAAAGAAGAGCTGCTGTGAATGTTATCTAATCCAAACTAGAGTCTTAAGAGAAAAATCAAAAATTAATCATCTGCCCATTTGGGATAAGGGGAGTCGTATCAGGGTGAGCACCCTGGACTCTGATCCCAGGCTGCCTAGTTCCCCACCCATGCATGCTCACTTCTGAGACGGCCAGCAATCGCTAACATATTGGCGAAGATTTTCTCATCTGTTTTGTAAAGTGCACAGACAGCGCCTGGCATGCACTCAGCAATGCTGTTATGCCTGTGGCTTTATTTCAATCAGCTTGAAGTTTAGACCCAATTCATCTCTCCCCAAATCCTTTTACTGACTCCGACTAAGTAAAAATACTCTGTCGTTGTGTGTTTCGTTTGTTTGTTTTAAGAGTATGGGCTCGTTGTGATTATGGCTGGGCTTCCTTTGGTTCTTTGTGTTGTCTGTTGCCGATGGCTTCCACATATCTTGTTAGTATCTAATAGCTGCTGCTTTACCTTTCAATCGTCTCAGGCAGTTGTTGAAGACTGTTGCTTCCCATGTCGAGCCACTCGAGGGCCGGCATGTTCAACACAGCAGGAGGGATTGTAGTAAAGTTGTTCATGCTCACATCAAGATGAGTGAGCTTTAACAGATTGCTGAGCTGAGGAAGAAAGCAAGTTTCCAAAATTACCGCCATGTAAACTATGGAACACTTAACCTTAATAAAGTAAATATTAGTCTTAATATTAGTCTTAATATGAGGAATGTGAGGGCTGGAGTGATAATATAGCAGGTAAGGTGTTTGCCTTGCATGCAACTGACCTGGGTTTGTTTCCCGGCATCCCATATGGTCCCCCAAGCAATGGCCAGAGTGATTCCTGAGTGCAGTGCCAGGATAACCCCTGATTATCACTGGGTGTGACCCAAAAGCCAGATAAATATACGAATGTTTATTGTGCTTGGGGGGTCTGTGTACTCCATAGTTCATGAGAAAATTGACATAAAATTTAATGAAAGCTCCCTCCCTAGCAAAGTTTATCTTTTCAAAGAAAGTTTAAAGTTTTCCAGGACCTACCTGGCAGAAGCTTTTAATTTCCTTTCTGAGAGTAAATTTTTAATGTTTTTCCACTCATATAGTAGCTGAAATTTGATGAGAAAAACAAACTTCATAATAATAACTATTGTAACTTCTTTGTTCTGATGAGGGCTGGAGCGATAGCACAGTGGTAGGACTTTTGCCTTACAAGCGGCCAACATGGCCGATCCGAGTTCGATTCCTCCGGCCCTCTCGGAGAGCCCGGCAAGCTACCGAGAGTATCTCGCCCACACGGTAGAGCCTGGAAAGCTACCCATGACGTATTCAATATGCCAAACACAGTAACAACAAGTCTCATGATGGAGACGTTACTAGGCCCGCTCGAGCAAATCGATGAACAACGGGAGGACCGTGATGATGATGTCCTTGTTCTGATGTTGAACACATGCTATCTCAGTCATAGAATTTATTTTTAGGTAATTCTTCTTTTAAATGAAAACAAAAAAAAATAAAAACTTGTTAGGTATACTATGCCACCAGTGTCTTCAACTTTAGAAAAAATATATTAATATGACTATACTACACATTTCTGCTTTCTTCCTCTTTAGTGATAATCTTTATTATCTTTATTCTGAATTTAGCATCATTCTTATGTTTTTATTACTACATATGTTGTGTGTCTTTCTATAATTATCTATATATTTTTATAAATAAAACATTTCATAACCTTTTAAATATTTTAGGATTATAATGGTATTCCTTATCTTTGACTTCTTTATATATATATCAATTTTAAATTGTCATTTTTAATTATTACAGCTCTAGTTTATTCATTTAAAATATCCCTTTCGTTACCTATCTTCTCTACTTCCAGATTGAGAAAATTTGAGTATGTGAATTGTCAATCATTGTACCTTAAATTAATAATTTTGAGGTTAGCTTTGCAAGGTGAATACCTTATTTCCAATATAAGGACAAATGATTTAAATAGGTATTGGAAAGTAGAAAGTCAAGCTATGATTCACATCCAGCTTTTTGTGGCTTAAAGTCACAAAATTTCTTTCCACATAATACTGAAACAAAAGTTTCAGGATTGGAGAATTTAATTTAAAAATTTACTTAATTTCTATCTCAGAGATACTCAAACTCATTCCATAACTATGATGCCATCAAAACACAGACATGTATACACACACACACACACACACACACACACACACACACACACACACTTTTGTGAGTAATGCAAAATAAGAAAATGACTCCATTAAGTGGGTAATATTTCTCCAGTTAGAATTCATACCATAAAATGATTTTTCAAAATACTTATCAAACTTCACTTTTATAAATGTTTCAGAATAGAATCATAAAATGATTGTTTTTCAGTTGAACAATGAGAGTAAACGTGTGTACACCTTATTAAGGACTGGTTTTGCAGAACCAGAACTTTTTGGTTTTACAAAATTAAAAAAAACGTTATAATCTAACAGCCTTACTTTTGCATATGTGTAAGCTAAGACCTACATGTATAAAACAGTATATTCACGGCGCTGGAGAGAGGGCACTCAGATTGCATCTCCAGCACTCCAGAGGGTCTCCCCCACCCTGCTAGTCCGCCAGAAGTGATCCCTCAGTGCAGAGCCAGGAGTAAGTCCTGGGCACCGCCTGGTGTGATACTTCCTCCAGCCCACCCCCCCCCCCACACACACCCCCCCCATAATTCCCTGAGTGAAGCAATTAATATAAAAGCAGTTAATAGATTAACCCAAATTTGCTGCTCAAGGGTGGGGACCAGTGTGGGGGATGAAGGAGGAGGCAAATAGGGTTCCTCCCACACAGTACTCAGGGTTCGGGAGGGGGCGCCCACTCCCACGGATCTCAAGTCCGCACCATCCAAGTCAGCAGCTCGCTGCTAGGGAGAACCCGTGCTGCTGTAACCCAGCGGTCTGGGCCAGGCCAGGCCACCACAGCGGAGTTTGAGCTACAACCAGCAATGCACAGAGGCCGCAGGACCACGACCCGCCGCCCAAACATGCCCCAGCTTTTGAGGCATTTCCTGGGCTCTGTTTTTCTCCACTTTCATCTTGCAAAGACATTTGTGACAAAACACCAAAGCTGTTTTGCTGGCTTTTAAATCATCAGACGGGCTGGAGCGAGTTGGTAGGGCGTTTGCCTTGCACCCGGCCCACCCGGATTTGATTCCCAGCATCCCATCTGGTCCCCGGAGCACCGCCAGGAGTTATTCCTGAGTGCAGAGCCAGGAATAACCTCTGTGCACGGCTGGGTGTGACCCAAAAAACAGAAATAAATAAAATAAAATCATCAAGCATGTTTGAAAAGTTACACTGATGTCTAAAGCTCTACAATCAGTTTGGTTTGGCCAATAACAACATAAGCTAGTTATAAGTTTGAATACTTCCCAAGATTATTGCTTTGCTTTAACTTTTACAGTCCAGAAAATATTTTTCTAAAAAAAGAAAACAATTTTCCTAAACAAAAGAACTCATTTTTCATTACTTGACTTCTCTGTTAAAAACAAACCACTTTTCAGGAGTTACCCCTATGCATAGCCATGTGTGACCCCCCCAAAAAAGGGAGGGGGCTGGAAGGATAGCACTGTGGGTAGGGCGTTTGCCTTGCACGGGGATGACCCGGGTTCGATTCCAAGCATCCCATATGGTCCCCTGAGCTACCGCCAGGAGTAATTCTTAAGTGCAGAGCCAGGAGTAACCCCGGAGCATCGCCAGGTGCCAGGTGTGACCCAAAAAGCAAAAAAAAAAAAAAAAAAAAGCTAAAAAAAAAACTAGTGAAGAAAACTTTTCTATCACCATATTGTCTGTGCTTTATAAAACTTATTTATTCAATACCCAACTAAGAAACTCTTGTCTGTACCTTCAATTCTGGGAATAGAAATAAGTTCAATTCATTCTGAACTTCAAGGAGATCACAGGCTAAGCAACAAATGATGTTAAAATATTTGGCAATGATGGAAGTATCTTTATGCTAAATAGATCTCTCTCTTAAAAATGCATTGTAAGGCTTAGGGAGGTGACAGTGATAGAGCACAAGTCCAAGATCGTGGGTCCAATCCCCTACACTGCAAAAAGAGGGGGGAAAATAAAACTTAAAAGATATAAAAGAGAGGTGAAGAGATAACACAGCATGTAAGGTACTTGCATTGCATGTGACCAACCGGAGTTTGATCCCCAGTATTCCATATGGTCCCCTAAGCACTACCAGGAGTAATTCCTGAATGCAGAGCCGGAGTAACCCCTGAGCATCGCCAGGTATGACCCCCCAAAGCCAAAAAAAAAAGGGGGTATAGAACAGAGCTAAAGAGATAGTATAGCACATAAGGTGCTTTCATTGCATGCGACCGACACAATAAAGCCGATTCTTAAGTGCAGAGCCAGGAGTAACCCTTTGGTACTGCTGGGTATGACAAAAAAATGAAAAAAGAAAAAGACATAAAACTTGCATTATATTGATAGTAGTAGGAAGTGGTTTTTATTAGATATCTCCTGAAGTAAAACGTGTGGTATTTCTTAATATTATTTTTAGTGGCCACACCATGACAAGTGGATAGAAAATATAGACATTTAAATCATTCTGACCTCTTGTGGAAGATCACATATATCTCTGTTAACAGCAAGTTCTAACTTCTCCAAGTTGGCACAGTTACTTAGTTCCTTGGGGATAGTTTTGATTTTATTGTAACTAAGAATCAGTTCCTGAAGTCTAGTAAGCAAACCTAAAAACATATTGAAAAAGAGAGAACAGATATTAATAACAGTTCCCAGTTAACAAGCTTTGTAACATAAGTTCCGGTTTCCTCTTGACTATATCACTCTTCTCAGGGTTTTTAATTGTTGTTAAGTCATAAAAAGATCCTACAAGAAACATGATATGATTTTTTATTTCAAAGTTTTTCTTTCAGAAAAAAATGTTACATGAAGCTATTGAAAATATTATTTAAGCATATTGCCACGATTGAATGCTGATGAATAGATTACCTCTCTAAAGCAATAGCAAAGAAAAGAGATAGGAGAAACTATAGAATATGGCAAGGTTGTAAAAATGAAGTTGCATGAGCTGATAATGTCTACATAGTAGGTGAAATATAAATATATTATCTTAAAAATGTTTCCAAGGGATACAAAAATAATTTCCAAATACATGAAACTCATACAAACATGGATATTTGAAATACTATATTACTCTTGATACTTTGAGATGCAGTGAAAAATTACAACATATTGGATAGAGGTTTGTATGATAAAATTATAAAGTTCGTGGGGGCTGGAGCGATAGCACAGCAGTAGGGCATTTGCCTTGCGCGCAGCCAGCCCAGTTGAGCCAGGTTCGATTCCTCTGCCCCTCTCGGGGAGCCCAGCAAGCTACCGAGAGTATCTCGACCACATGGCAAAGCCTGGCAAGCTACCTGTGACGTATTCAATATGCCAAACACAGTAACAACAAATCTCATGATGGAGACGTTATTGGGCCCACTCGAGCAAATCGATGAACAACGGGAGGACCGTGACTGTGGTATTTCATGCACAATTATGATTCATCATGTAACATAATAATAGTGCTTTAATATTATATGTTAAATATAGAACTTCTAGGATTCCTCAGAAGATAACAATTTCTTCAAATTGGCATTTTATAAAATAATTTCAAAAAGTCCTAATTAGTATTGAAATATAATAAATGAAATACATCATGTAGTGACTTTAATTTTGACATCATTTATTCTTTTCTAGAAGAAAAATCATAAGCAATACATATTTAATAGTTCAGATATTATAATTATTTAGAGAACTTATTTTAAATTTAATTTAAATTATGAATTTAAATTAATGTAATTTAAATTATGAATAATAAAACACCTTCAGTTCAGAAATAATATTTTCAAATACTCTCATGTATTCCCAAGAAATAATGAACATATTTAGTAGCTGTGATATGTTGTCAGCTTTGAAAATAACGTAGATTTATTCTCTTGGCCATAATCATACTTTCAAAGCTTGACTAATAAAACATAGTTTTTCAGGTTGCTATTGACAGAATTTGGCGGGTTTTTTTTTTTTTGGAAGAGAGGGAGGGACATATATGTGGGCATTTTTTTGTTTTGTTTTTGTGTGACTTTGGTTTTAGACCACCACACCAAGCAATTCTCCTGTCTCTGCATTCAGGAATCACTCCTGACCGTGCTCAGGGGACCATCTGGGATACTGGGGCTTGAACCTGGGTTGGCCGTATGCAAAGCAAGCACCCTACCCATTGTATTATTGCTCCCTTCACACCAGTTTTTAAAATTTTATTTCAGACGTTGTGATTTACAGTATTGATATGCAGAATTTCATGCAAAAGACATTTCAATTTCACACCCTCCTCCAGAGCGTCAGCTTTCCCCACCACTGTCCCAGTTTGTCCCAGCTCCATCGTATTCTCCCTCCATGTCCCGTACATTGAGATGCTTCCTACTTAAGGACAGTTCTGGGTTTCTATTGCCTTTGGGCCTTTGTTGTTTCTTTACTTTGTTTCCCTGTATTCCAGATACTTGGACAGTTATTCTGTGTCTGTCCCTCTGCTTCTAACTTCTCTCAGCATGCTACAGTAGCAGATCTATCTGCCTAACAGCAAACTCCAGGATTTCATAACTTTGTATAGTCGAGTAGCATGCCTGTGTGTCCATGATATTAAAACTAGAGGCATTTTTAATGATTCAATGCCACTGGACAAGCAAACAGAAGCAAAGACAAGCAAATCATACTACATGAGACTGAAAAGCTTCTGCACTGCAGAAGAAAAGATGACCAGAATAAAAAGACACCCCATGGACTGGGAATGAATATCTGCCTAACATCTCACAAAGCATTAACATCCAATATATATTGGTACTTGACAAGAAAATACAACCAATCCCATCCAAAAATGGGGGGAAGGGTGAAACTTTAACAAAGAAGGCAGAAAATTACTCTGTGCCACTTATTGTCCAGGAAATGCAATTCAAAACAACAATAAGGTAAAGGTAAAGGTAAAGGCCCTCCCGTTGATCGTCGATTTGCTCGAGCGGGCCCAGTAACGTCTCCATTGGAGACTTTGTTGTTACTGTGTCTGGCATATCGAATACTCTCGGTAGCTTGCCGGGCTCTCCGAGAGGGGCGGAGGAATCGAACTTGGGTCGGCCATGTTGGCCACGTGTAAGGCAAACGCCCTACCCTCTTGCAAATCAAAACATCAGTAAGACTAGCATACATTGCAGAGTGAAAACAGCCAGTGTCGATCGAACACAGGGAACAGGGACCCTCATCCTCTGCTGATGAGAATGTCGACTGGTCCAATCTTTTTGAAAACAAGTGGACATTCCTCAAAAAACTAGGAATTGAGCTTCCATATGATTCAGCAATGACAGTTCGGTACACCTACCCCAAAGGCCCAAAAATCTACTCGGAAAATACATTTTCACTCCTTGGCTCATTGCAGCACTGTCCAAAATAGCCAAAATTTGAAGACAACCCAAGTGTCCCAGAACAGATGATTGGATAAAGAAATGGTATTTTTCAGGTTTTTAACTTTTCATGGTCGGTGACTTATTCTTTAGAAACAGGACTTTTGATGCTATCGGCAAAATATTCCTTTGTCATTCTGATTTATATTTACTCTATCCTGATCAGTTTTCCATTTGGGAATTTTTTTTTTCTCATTTGGAAACACCACCACCACCCCACCCTTGGCCTTTCAACTATCTGTTTTCTTCTAGGGAGAATAACAGAAACAAAAATATTGCTTCCAGAGTCTACACAATAATAATTACAAAGAGTCTACTCATGTTAAAATTTCATCTTGTGTTCAGAACAAACAGTGCCAAGGACTGAGCATGTGTTTTTCATATAGAAATAGCCCTGAGGGGTGGAGCAATAGTACATGTAATGCACTTGCCTTACACGTGGCTATCCTAATTCAATCCCCAGCATCCCACATGGTCCTCTGAGAACCATTAGGTGTGACTCCTGAGTGCAGAGCCAGGAATAACCCCTGAGCATTGCCAGGTGAGACCCCAAAACATAACAAAACAGAAAAACAAAACAAAGAAAAAGATATAGCCCTGAGCACTAGGGAATGTGACCCAAAAGTAAAATAAACAAACCTCTTCTTGAATCAACTCATTTAATCCAGAGCTTTAGATGGCCCTGGAAATTTTCACTTAGATTAATTGATTAAGATTTTCGCAGAACTGGACATTGGTGGTGGGAAACGTACACTGGTGAAGGAATGGGTGATGGAACATTACATGACTGAAACCCAAACGTGAACAACTTTTTTAACTGTGTATCTCACTGTAGTTATGTATATATTTATAAAAAGTGAGAGAGAGAGAAAAAAGATTTTTCCAGGACTTAGAGCTATATAAAGATGAGCCCCTTTTTCATCACAAAAAAAAGAAAAGCAAAGGAAAAAGCAATCTATATGTGGATAAAATAGCACAGTCATGAAAGCAATCTTTACCAATTCCTCGTGGTATCTCTGAAATTGTGTTTCGAGATAAATCTAACACAATGAGGTTCTGAAATCTTCCAACGAATTCAGGAATTTTCAACAAACCAGTTCTATGAAGTTGCCATTCCTGTAGCTGATTCAGTTTCAGTAGAGAAGAAGGAAGAGTCTAAACCAAGGGGGGGAAAATGACAGTTAAGACCATAGTCGGAGCTCAGCCATAGAATACTTTCCTTTTTTGCATCAGGTCCTGGGTTTGCTATCCACATCATCACCCCCGAAAACTGAGTTATGATGCTAAATTATTTTAGTATTATGTTCATTGAAGAATGATTTTAGATGTATTATTTGATTTGCAAGAGAACTTTAAAACTCCTTTTCCTTGCTGGCTTTTTTCTAAAGACTTTACTGTTACTTCCAAAGCTTAACTTTTTTCTCTTGACTATTAAACCCCAATCAGAATATAATGAGAAGAATTGACACTTGAGTCAATATAACATGAACATTCTACCATATAAGGATACAAATGCAGTTAAAAATGAGAATGTGGGGCTGGAGCAATAGCACAGCAGGTAGGACATTTGCCTTGCACGCAGCCGAACTGGGTTTGATTCCAGCATCCCATATAGTCCCCCAAGCACTGCCAGGAGTGACTCCTGAGTGCAGAGCCAGAAGTAACCCCTGAGCCTCGCCGGGTGTGACCCAAAAAACAACAACAACAAAAATTAAATAAAAAAATGAGAATGTGCGAGCACCATTGCATCCGGGGACCCTTACATTGAGTTGCAGGCCTGTCTGATTGAGAAGTACTAGTGGGACCCTGGTCTCCAGAGCACCGCTGGGGAGTCTCCCTCCAAAAGAGACTATTGTAGTTAAATAAAATCACAGAGAAACTTAAATGTTATTTTAATTCATCATTCAAACTTTCTCCTTCTCTTTTGAAATATTTTTTAAACATTTTAAAAAGAAATTTTTAACTTAAGGAATTTGAGTTTCAACTGTTCTGAACTCTTTCCCTTTAACTTAAAAGAGAAACTAATTCCCTAGCTAAATACACATAGATTTATTAGAGTAGACACAAATCCAAGGAGGACAGTTCCTTGTAAAAATAAGAATCTATTAAAATGAGAACGTATATTCACTTAACTATGGTCTGAAGTTAGAGGTTTGAAAAGACTTTTAAAAAATTTAAAAATTCAACTCTTGGAAGACATCAAGAGAAATTTTTGAAGCCATAGCCTGATCCTCAACTTGGCTTGTGATTACTTCATCCCTTCTAAATAAAAGCTTTCTTAGCCTTCATGAGGGGGAGAGAGAGAGAGAGAGAGAGAGAAAGAGAGAGAGAGAGAGAGAAAGAAAGACAGAGAGAGAGAACACTCATGTAATATAATGTACCAACTTTGTGAAAGTGAGACTATAAAGAAGATGGATCTAAGAAAAATTAATAACTATTTCCATTTTATAAAATTGCAAATAAGCATTTGCTTTAGGAAAATTATATAATTTTTGTTAGACAATGGCCACTATTTTTACAGAAAATGAAAATTTGTTTATTAGAATTAATGGAAATATTACAAATTACAAGTTTATTATAGTACAAAATTACAATATTACAAGTTTATGTAGTTGAAGCAAGATAGTAAAAATTTTGTCAAAAAATTGTGAAATGTTTATTTTTAGTGTTCAAATTCGCTGAGTATATATTATTAAAATTGTACCTTCTAGTTATTCCAGTCTGAATGTCAAAATTATTACCTCAAATTGCCTCATGTAGCAAAAGGTAGAAAATCAGAAACTTCTTCAGTAAAGCTTACCTTCCATTCCTCATTTTCTATTTTCAAAATGACTCTTCCATCTTCCCTAATGACCTTTTCTTTCAGCTTGGTTAAATTTACTCTTTCTTCCCATATTCGCACTAGCCTAGAAGTCCAGAAAATCATTTCAGTGTATAGATAATGTCAGAGAGCACTCACTTTGTTGGAAAACAATGAAATCTATTAAAAAGAAACATTGGATCAACAGTATCTGAAAACCATATGTGAATTTAATTTTTAAGTAATTATGTTTATTTTAAGAAATGCCCCAGCTTCACAGTTTTGAAAAGTCTGGTTCCCCAAAATCCCTTTTGGAAGGGCCGGGGGAGTCACAGTGATCTGGGGCCAGCAGCATGAGACTGGACCACCGAGTCCACTGGACTGTCCAGAGCCTGAGCCGGTTATGTCGGGGGACCGTGCAGCAACAGGGATAGAGCTCAGAACTTGGCACATGCCAGACGTGCACTCTAGTTCTTTGACAGAACACCCCAGCCTGACCATAGCTTTATTAATACATAATTAACATGCCATAAATAGATCCTTTAAAAGTAGACCATTCATTCAGTCATGGTATATTCGGAGAGTACAGGCACATTCCATCAGAGTATATTCACAGATTTGTACAAGCAACACCAACCACCATTTCATTCAAAATGACTTCATCACTCAAAAAATAAACCCTAAAGTGCTGATTGTACAGCAGGTGAGGCATTTGCTTTGCACACAACCAACCACCTAGATTTGATCCCCAGCACCTGAACCCTCCAGGAGTGATCCCTGAGCACAGAGCAGGAGTAAGCGCCAAGAACTGCTGCTGGGTGTGGCCCAAAAACAAAAACAGAATGTTTATTTTGTCATACTAAAGCAAAATCCTTTGACTTGGTATATCAGAAACATACATAATACCAAGCTATAAAAATGACTACCAAAATTTTGTGAAAGGTTTCCTAATTCTATACTAAAACTTTTTTGATGTATCAAAAATAAGAAATTTAGGGTCTGGAGCAATAGCACAGCGGGTAGGGCATTTGCCTTGCACGCGGCCAACCTGGGTTCGATTCCCAGCACCCCATATGGTCCCCTGAGCACCGCCAGGGGTAATTCCTGAGTGCAGAGCCAGAAGTAACCCCTGTGCATCGAAACAAAAAGCCAAAAAAAAAAATTTAGAATTGAAATTTCTGAAAGTTAGAATTTAAATTTTATCATGTTAAAATTGTACCAAATACAATTTAATAATTAAAAAACCATAAGCTAAATTAATTTGAATATTTACTAGAGACCATCAGTATCTGAGAGTTAATTGATATTCTTGTATTTTTCTGGTGGCTGTTTTGGTTTTGGGGTCATAGCTGTGCTCAGAGTTTACTCCTAGTTCTGTGCTCAGGGATTATGCATGACAGGCTCAGGGGACTTTACCTGCTATAAGGCTCTCCCAGTCCCCCAATACATATTCTTAATGGTTTTTTATATTAATTAATAGTGAAGATTTTCTTTTGAAAAAAGCCTAAATTATCTCTAAAAGTATATTTTCTACCTATTTGAGTTGACAAAATGTTTCTATGGAGTCTGCATTTTTGTCTGCTCTTATTGGAAATTTAGGTGGCGGTTCAGTTTGCTCAGGACTCAAGGGACCATATGGGTGCTGGGGAGGGAACCCGGGTTAGCCACGGGGAAGGCAAGCCCCCTGCCCACTCTACTGTGGGCTGTTGGAAATTTGAATAATCAATAAGCAAAAGCATTCTGGCAATGTCTATATATGGCCTTCAAGACTGAACAGCTAAACTTACTGGCACTTAACTGAGACAAACACATACTGCTATTTTCAGTTTTATTATCGCTATATCACTGTATCACTGTCATCCCCTTGTTCATAGATTTGTTCGAGCAGGTGCCAATAACGTCTCCATTTGTTTCAACTCTGAGATTTTAGCAGCCTCTCCTTACTTGTCCTTCCCAAGGGTACCGTATTGGAGGCTGTTTCGGGGGAATGAGACCCGTTATTGTTACTGTTTTTGGCATATCAAATATGCCACAGGGAGCTTGCCAGGCTCTGCAAGTTTTATTATATTTTATAAAAATAGCATTTATTTGAACAAGATTAAAATTTTTATTGATCATTAATATATATGCATATTTCTGAACAAGATTTAGTGAAAATGCAATTGTCCTATTCCCTAATCTTTAATGTCAGTTAAAGAATTTATTTATTTATTTACTTATTTATTTGGGTTTGGGGGTGTATTCTCAGAGCTCACTCTTGGCTCTTGTGTTCAGAAATCACCCCTGGTTCTGTACTCACAGATCATGCCTGGCAGTGCCAGAGGACCAAATGTGATGCTGGGGATTCAGACAGCCACGTGCAAAGAAAGTGCCCTACCATGTGTTATCTCTTTGGCTCCTATTAAGAGATTTACGAAGAACCCATTATATGCCAAGTTCCATAGTGTATACATTGGGTAAACTAAAAACTCATTCCTTATTGAGTGTGGTGAGAATATTATTAGATAAGTCTCTTTCTCACTGTAAAATGATTCCTTTATCTTTTTGGCTCTGACTTTCTGTGATCAAGTTCAGAACTGTAGTGTATCTCAGTCACCTTGAGGAAGACCTCTCACTCTGTTGGTCTTGCTTACAAAGTGTAGGGGTTGGGTTAAATGGTATCTAAGATCACTTCTGGTCCTTGTATTCTATGATTCCTGTACTATTTATTTTAAGCTTTATGTTCTTTTCAAGTTTTGGATAGAGAGTTTTTACTTCCTCTAGAATCCTCAGAGTCCTTCGGCTGGGGTGATAGAACAACAGAGAGGGCATTTTCCTTGCATGTGGCCAACCCAGGTTCAATTCCCGGTACCCCCTATGATTCCCCGAGTATCACCAGGAGTGATTCCAGACTGCAGAGCCAGGAATAACCTCTGAGCATCACCAGGTGTGACCCCAACCCCCCCAAAAAATAGAATTCTTATAGTCTAAAGCCTTTCTCCCATGCCTTCACGTAAGTTCTTACCTAAATGCTTGATTTCTTCATCTTGGCATCAAGAGATTATGAGTACGGGAGCCAGGGAGAAAAATCAAAGGGCTGGAACACAGGTCCTGCTGAGCGAGCCCAGAATTCTCTTCCTGGATCCATATGACACACAGTACTGTCAGGTGTGGCCCAGGTGGCCCCAGCCCCACCAAGCCTGAGCAGCACTGCAGCACTGTGTCCAAGCACCTCACAGCAGGTCTGTCCAGCCAGGAGTGACCTGGTCTTCCCAGCACTACTGTGAAGACCGCCCCCCCCCAGTCACTGTCACTGTCCTCCCATTGTTCATCGATTTGCTCGAGCAGGCCTAGTAACATTGTGAGATTTGTTACTGTGTTTGGCATATCGAATACGTCACAGGTAGCTTGCCAGGCTTTGCCGTGCGGGTGAGATACTCTCGGGAGCTTGCTGGGCTCTCTGAGAGAGGCGGAGGAACTGAACTTGGGTTGGCCATGTTGGCTGAATGCAAGGCAAACGCCCTACCTGTTGTGCTATCGCTCCAGCCCAAATAATAATAATTTTATTATTATTAAAAAGACAACCAATATAATTTCTGTTTAAAATTAAGACTTTGGGAGGAGAATCACACCGAGCGATTTTCAGGGGTTACTCTTGGATCTGCACAAAGAAATTACTCTTGGCAGTGCTTGGAGGAACCTTGCATTCAGACAGGAAGTGTGTGAAGAGCCGAGCCAGTGTATTGATGAGTACTGACGGCAGGTTCTTCAGGTGTTCAGGTCTGACCTTGTCTGGGCCGGGTGCTGTTTGTTTCTTTACTGATGAAATGGCGTGTCAGATTTCGGAAGGGAGAACGTTGGGAACGACATATCCATCCTGTGGAATTTGGTATGTCGGCAGGTGGACATGGCTATCGAAGAGATTTGAGTAGAAGGCATGGATAATCTTCTCCATTGCCGTTCTGGAGGATGTGATGGATCCATCAGGACGTCGGAGGGCAGTCATCTTGGTCTTGTAGTTGGCGAAGGACAGGTGGGAGTTACGAATACTTTTTCCGGCTTCTGCCGCATCTACCAGTACTTCTGTTCTTCTCTCTTTGAGGTCTTCCTTGATCGCATCTCTGCACTGCTTTGCGAGCTCAGACATTCACTTGAGGTTGCCTGAGGCATGCACCAAGCCACGTTGGCGAATAAGCTCAAGAGTTTTTGAAGACAGGCGTTTTTTTGTGGCTATCTCTCTCTTGGCATTCCTAGCACAATCACGGAGGTGCTGAACCAGTCGATCATATTCCTCATCAATATTTTCAACAATGGCATCTTCCCATGTTGCCGCAATAGTGCCAAAGAGCTCCCAGTTGGTGGTCGTTCTGGGAGTTCTCTTTTTAAACTTTGCAGCCCTTTCTCCCCTCTCTGTGAAGTAGAATTTTGCATGAAGGAGACAGTGGTCCGATCCCGTTTGGAATTTTGGGACAACAGTGACATCGGTCAGGCAAAACCATTGATTGAATATGATGTGGTCTATTTCATTGTGGAATTGTCCACCGGGAGACTCCCATGTCCAACGTTTAGATTCGGCCTTCTGGAATCTTGAGTTACCATGGATGGTCTTGGTTGACATGATGAACTCAGACAATCTCTCACCCAGTTCGTTCCATTCTAGGCCATGGGTCCCGATGCAAAGTTCTTCAGCTGATCTTCTTGGTTCTATCTTGGAATTAAAATCCCCCACAATGATCTTGTAGAAGATGTGGTCTTCTTTATAGAACTTCTCCAGCTCCATGTAGAACTTCTCAATTTCTCCTTCATCATAATTGGATGTTGGTGCATAGACAACGAAGATAGAAACTGCCGGCAGTGAGCCACATCTATTCAAATGTAAACGTCCTATTTGGGTTGTTAGGCATTTGAATGAATCAATGCTCATGGCCAAGTTTGTGTTGACAAGGACACCAACGCCTCCCACACCTCTTTTATCGCATGTTCCGAGGAACAATTCTTCTCCAGTGTCGAAAATGGCGTGATGAGATTGGTGCCTTCTTGTCTTGGTCAGACCAATGATGTCGTACTTGATCTTTCGCGCTTGTACCATCAGGTCCTCAATGGATGCATCTGATGCTAGCGTATGTGCATTGAAAGTACAGATGATCATTTTTGTCTTCCTTTGTCGTGGCAGCCTAGTTTGGCCTTGAGATTTTATTGGCCTCTCATTTGCCAAGGTGACAAAAATCAGATGGGTTGGTCACGTAATGAGATTTAGAGACGACTGCTGGACTAGAGCTGTTACTGATTGGATTCCACGGGATTTCAAAAGACTGCGTGGTCGCCCACCTACCAGATGGTCAGACTTCTTCATCAAGATCATGAATGATTGGTTTGAGGCTCTTCGTGTTCCTACAGCGAACAGACGCCATTGGGCTACACTAGCACGTGACAGGGACAAATGGAGACGTTACTGGCGCCTGCTCGAGCAAATTGACGATTAACAAGAAGTCAAGTGAAGTGATCAAGTGCTTGGAGGACCAGATGGGATGCCGGAAATATGACCCACGACAACCGCTTGCAAGACAAACATACTACCTCTGTACTATCTCTCCAGCCCCTAAAATTTAGACTTTGGGGCTCGAAAGATTGCTCGGGGAATAAGACACTAGCTTTGTACAGAGTTGATGTGGGTTCTATCTCTAGCACTGCATTTGGTACCCCAGTACCACCAGAAGTGAGCCCTGAGCACAAAGCAGAACTCAGCCCTGCAGAGTGCCAGGTATGGCCCAAAACCCCAAATAAAATAATACTCTCTAACATAGCAGAGTCTGCTAATGTTAAGTATATGGGACCAAGAAACAGGCACGAACACATGAGAGATTAGAGGTAGAATCAGCTTTAACTAAACATGCAGATGAAACCTGGCTAAAGCCAAAATGAAAAGCCAGGAATTACAGTTCACACGGATCTTATTAATTACAGGATGTACTGTTTCTATGGGAACAATTTTCTTATCTAACACACACAATGATTGCTTAACATACATTATACTTAGTACAATCAGTTCCACATAGATATTTACTAATTGTTTCTGTGTCCCCGTTCTGTTCCTGCTCAAATAATCAAATCATTCTCACTCTTCTGCTCTGTTCTGATCATAACTTTGTGATTTATGACCTAGTCATCTTTGCCCAGTTCCTACACTGGGTCACTCAGATGTCCTGCCTCTAGTTACCCACCTCCACTCCTAATTTTCCCCTACACTTATAATTGGCTCAGTATGTTATTCCACCCGCACAAATCCTCTAAATTTAATTAGATGTAGACTTCTCTAAAACATCTTGTCTAGCAGCAAGAAATGGGTCAGGGCAGAACATGGCTCAGTGGTAGAACATGTACCTTGAATGTATGAGACCTTAGGTTTGATTCCTAACACCAGGAAAATACTTAATGGGTAGATAAGGGCTCTTTGAATTCCTGGCCAGTGAGATGTGAGCAGAAATAACAGTGTGTCTAGTTTCTGCTGAACTGGAATTAAATATGATGGCTGCTGTTGTTGTATCTATTTGGGGAATGAAATGACTTTAGGAATGGCAAGCATGTGCTATTTGAGCAACCAGATAGAATCTTGAATGCCTGATTCAGGGCTGTGCTATTCTGGTGCTGAATCAGCAACCCAGAAAACGTAGCGTTCCTTATTGAAGGCACTATTATTTTAGTTTCCTTCATCTCACTATGGAATTTTTATTTTTTTTTGCTTTTGCGATAATACCTGGCGATGCTCAGGGGTTGCTCCTGGCTTTGCACTCAGGAATTACTCCTGGCAGTGCTCAGGGGACCACATGGGATGCTGGGGATTGAACCAGGTAGGTGAGTGCAAGGCAAATGCCCTACCTGCTGTACTACCGCTCCAGCCCTAGAATCTTATTTTTACCACACTCAGTAGTGCTCAGGGTTTATTCCTGGCTCTGCATTCAGGGATCACTCCTGGTAGGGCTCGGGAGACATTCTGGGATGCTGAGGATTGAACCTGGGTTGGCCAGGTGCCAGGCAAGTGCTGTACTATATCATTCTGGCTCCTCATGATGGAACTTAATCCTCATCATGACACTATGCTTCTGCATGTTAAATAATAATAATAATAATAAATGATTTTGTGGGCATGAAATACTTAGCACAGTGCCTTGCAAACAGTTTAGTTCCAGTTGTGACAACTTTATCATGGTCAACATCAGTTTTTCTATTTTTTTTTGTTTGCTTGATTTTTGCTTTTGGGGTCACAACTGGCGATGCTCAGGGGTTACTCCCGGGTCTGCACTCAGGAATTACTCCTGACAGTGCTCGGGGGATCATATGGAATGCCAGGGATCAAACCTGGGTCAGCCTCTTGCAAAGCAAACACCCTGCCCGCTGTTCTATTGCACCAGTCCCTCCTTTGACTTTGGTTGGCAAAAATTGCTCCTCCCTATTCAGCTCATTTTTTACAGCTTATAAACACAAATAATTATTATCAATAATATTTTTCTGAACCAGAGAGTTAATACAACGGGTTGGGTGCGTGCCTTGCCCATGACTGAACCTGGTTTGATCCCTGAAACCCCGTAAGTTTTCCCAACCCCATCCAGGAGTTATCCCTGAGAGTATAGAGCCAGGAGAAATCCCTAAGCACCACTGGGTGTGGCCCCCAAACCAACAGTAATAGCAGTAGCAATAATAATCACCATCATCATTTCCCCCTCTTGTGAAGAATTTTAATTATTTTCAAGTGTCTCCACTTCTCCAGGTAATCTGGGTATAAATCTTTATTTGTCTAAACCAATCATAATACACTCTCATTTTCTCTAGAAGAGAATTTACTTAGTGGGGCACAAATGACACAGATCTGTGCAATAAGAGATGAAGGCAAAACAGAACTTCAGAAAGTTTTCTTCATGCATAAAAAAAATAGCTTCCACTCTTCTGACAACTGAAGATGCCTGCGGGAGTTCTGAGGGAAACTAACATAAGGATCAAATGAGGCATTTAAGATCAGCAAAGGAAGCTGAGAAGTAACAAAATTAGAAGGAAAAAAAGAGAGAAATCTTTGTTTGTTTGCTTGTTTTGTTTTTTTTGGATCACACCCAGTGATGCTCAGGGGTTACTCTTGGCTCTGCACTCAGGAATCACTCCTGGAGGTGCTCAGGGGACGATATGGAATCCTTGGAATCGAACCCGGGTTGGTGGCATGCAAGGCAAACGCCCTATCTGCTGTGCTATCACACCAGCCCGCCAAAGAGACTAATCTTTGATGGAGTTGAAGTCTTTAGATTAATTTACTTTTATCCCTATTGCTTACTCATTTTTAGTTAAATTTTCTATATGAGCAAGACTGGTATTTGGAAAGAGACTTCATGAAAAACAATTGTATGAAGCTATGTGGAATCTGACAGGGAAAGGGGCTATTCTTTCAATAATTGTTGAATACGTTGCTTTGCAGCTATCCCAAGTAGGAGAGTAAATAAATATAAAGAAGGCAAATATAAATAAATATAAAGATAGATAAATAAATATAAAGAAAATGAAAGCTAAAGCATTTCAAAATGGGCCACATCAAGAAACTGATCCTCGGGGCTGTAGAGCGATAGCACAGCGGGTAGGGCTTTTGCCTTGCACGCGGTCATCCTGCGTTCGATTCCCAGCATCCCATTTGGTCCCCTGAGCACTGCCAGGAGTGATTCCTGAGTGCAGAACCAGGAGTAATGCCTGTGCATTGCTGGGTGTGACCCAAAAAGCTGTTGGTATACACTGTAGCACTGTCGTCCCATTGTTCATCGATTTGCTTGAGTGGGCCCAGTAACCTCTTCATTGTGAGTGACCCAAAAAGCAAAAGCAAAAAAAAAAAAAAGAAGAAAGAAAGAAAAAAAAAAGAAATTGATCCTCAATGGGGGGCTGGTTGAAATTCACAGTTACTTAAATAAATTTGACTGCCTCGTCCATCTCTTCTGATTTTTTTTTTTTTTTGGGTCACACCTGGAGATGCTCAGAGGTTACTCCTGGCTTTGCACTCAGGAATCACTCCTGGTGGCGCTAACGGGTCCACATGGGATGCTGGAAATCGAACCCGGGTCGGTCGCATGCAAGGCAAATCCAAATGCCCTACTTGCTGTGCTATCGCGCCAGCCCCATCCCTTCTGATTTGACCCTATGCAATGTAATGTTGAACAAGGAGTCACTGAAAAGTAGACTAAATGATATTTGAACATTACTGGGTACTAAAAGACCCTGAGTATGATGAGTAAGTAATGTTTTCACGTTCAGTGCCCCCCTCACATTGCCACGTTTGCTTGGTAGTTTCCTTAGAAAATAGGTGTTTCCTGTATATGTATTTTCAGTTTTCAACAAACAAATATCTCTATCATGTTCGGTTCTAAGAAATTTAATAAATTTTTTTTGGGGGGGATTGATTTTGGGATATTGAATGCCTGTAACAAATCACTCTTAACAACTTTGCAAACCACAGTGTTAATATAAAGTGTAAGGGGGAAAAAATGGAAAAAATAAATTCAGTTTTAAAAAAAAGGAAAAAAGTGCTCTTTTTTAAGTGATAACGTTATAAGTTTTTGCTAATTAATTAAAAATAACAAACATGGTATAGCATACTTTTGCTGAAATTCCTTCTCTCGCTTCAGGTCATCATTGAGTTTCTTTATTCTTTTTTCCCAAACGTCCTTTGCAGCATGAACGGCTCCCGTACAAACCATGTTTTCTGACATGATTCCTTCACATTGTCACAGTCAACAATATTATTAAGTTCTGAATAATGGTCTTCCAGATGCCATCTCAAAAAAGATCTAATTATACAAGAGAAAAAAAAGGAATGTGTGATAATATAGTGGTCCTTGTCTTGCATGCAGCTGACCTGGATTCGATCCCTCACATTCCATATGGTCCCTTGAGCACTGCCAAGAGTGATTCCTGAGCGCAAAGCCAGGAGTAATTCCTGAGTATTGCCAGGTGTGGCCCAAAACAAAACAAAATAAAGTAAAACAAACCATGTTATTAAAAAAAACATAGTTATTAGAGGCCAGCCGGGTATCCTAGAGGAAAGGGCAGTTCAGATAGAGAAGAGAGCACCAAATAAAGGGTGTTTGGAGGATCCTTCCAGGAGGGGAGATGCATGTCGAAAGTAGACTATGGACTGAACATGTTTGCCACTCAATGCCTCTTTTGGAGACCACAACACCCAAAAGGAGAGAGAGAACACAGGGGATTGCCCTGCCACAGAGACAGGGGGGATGGGGGGATGGGGGTGGTGGGATATTATCCATGGTGGTGGAAAATGGGCACTGGTGGAGGGATGGGTATCTGATCATTGTATAATCGAAACCCAAGCACAAAAAATTGTAAATCTACAACTGTAAAAAAAAAAAAAGAAACAAACAAACAAACAAAATAACATAGTTATTTTGTGACTGTCACTGTCCCTGTCCTCCAGTTAGAAAAGAGAAAGAGTCACCCTTTCTATCCACCATTATACCAGAATACTATAAAGCCAGGGACATAAACAGAAAGATATAAAGCTTGGAAAGGGAAGAGTGAAGTTTAGATTAACATAAGGAAGAAGATATTCTTCTAGACCACAGGTGTCGCAGTCTCACTCTAGGCAAGTGCCTGAACCTTCAAAGCAAAAGTGCGTCTAAGAGAATATGAAAGAAGGAAATGGAAAAGAGAAGCAGTGGGTATATCTACATCTTCAAAGTAGGAAATCAAGAGATACTATGGATCCTTTTCCCAAGAAGTAGAAATGTAAGTTAAAATTTTGTTTAAAGTTATAAAAGTCATTGGGAGAGAACTAAAACTGATGATATACTGCTGTGGAGGTAAAAGTGAATTTAAACATCATATCTCAGAGTAGATAATGTCTAAAGTTGACTAAAAATAGTAAATAATTGCTTTATAAAAAGAAAAGGATATATGGAGCTCACCATTAAAATAAAAACTTGAAATAGTTTTTTTTAAAATGGTTGCTTCAAAAAGTATAGTCAAAGTGACATCTGCACTTGTTTGTTCATTGCGGCACTCTTTATAATAGCCAGAATCTGGAAAAAACCTGAGTGCCCGAGAACAGATGGCTGGTTAAAGAAACTTTGGCACATCTACACAATGGAGTACTATGTAGCTGTTAGAAAAGATGAAGTCATGAAATTTACATACAAGTGGTACTACATGGAAAGTATCATGCTAAGCAAAATGAGTCAGAAAGAGCAAAATAGACACAGAAAGATTGCATTCATCTGGGGAACATAAAGTAACAAAATAGGAGAAGAACACCCAAGAATAGCCAAGTCCCAGGAGGTTCACTCCATGGCTTGGAGACCAGCCACACATGCTAGGGGAAAAGGGAGCTCAGATAGAAAAGGGAGCACCAAATAAAGGGTGTTGGGAGGATCCTCTCAGGATGGGAGAAGCATGCTGAAAGTAGACTATAGACCAAACATGATTGCCACTCAATGCCTCTTTTGCAAACCACAGCACCCAAAAGGAGAGAGAGAACAAAAGGGAATGCCCTGCCACAGAGGGAGGGTGGGATGGGGGATGGGGGTGGGAGGGTTACTGGGATCCGTGGTGGTGGGAAATGGGCACTGGTGGAGGGATGGGCATTTGATCATTGTATAATTGAAACCCAAGCAAAAAAGTTTGTAAGTCTACAACTGTACCTCATGGTGTTTCACTAATAAAAATTAAATTAAAAAAATGATTACTTCTACAGTAAAAGAAACTGGACAGAGTATATTGCTTTTTCTTATTAATGTCCTCTAAATTATTTCTTTCTCTAAACTAAAAATGTGGAGTGTGTTTGAGAGATATATCAAGAGAGACAGAGAAAAAAAGAGAGATAACTTTAATGCAGAGGGAAAGGCTTAAAACTTGAAAATTGACATTGAATTGCCAATAGGCATTAAATTATTGAGATGATTCCTACTTTTAAGCAGTGCATGCAAAATTTACACCAGAATATTGAGCATATATACACTTATAATTCAACTCCCTGGACATGTCACAGTCACTAAACAATTTGTTGTTTCAGATTTTTCAAAGTTTATAGTATTTGATTATTAAATCACAATTTAAAAATTTCAAGTATCTACATTTAAATGTGTATTGTAGTAGAGATATGTAATAATTTATATTCTAATTCATTTTCTCATTTGCCATTAAACTTTGGTCACCAATCAATTTCCCTTAAAGAAAAATATGTTTAACAATGATATGCTACTTTCTGTCTCTAATATGGGATTTCCATTTTTACATTGATTATTACCATGACAGAAAATGCATAGCATGACAACAAAATAAGTATAACAATACCAGAACTGTCAACTTCTTAAAATCCTAAAGTAAAAACATAAATAAATAACAAAAAAACAGCAAAAGAAATACAATTTTCGAAGAACTACTTCATAACTTCCAGCAGACAATTTACATGCATGACTATGAACTTTAAATTTATTTCAAGCTTAGTTTAACACTCCAACAAATGGAGGCAGAATAAAGGCATCACCAGACATCTGTTTTTCTGTGAAGAGCAGGTGGAGAGTGGCTGAATATTTGGTAAAAAGTACTTACAGTTGTTGGTGGATTCAGAAGCTCACAGACCCAAAATCAGCTAGAGTGGGCAAAAGAAAGACTCCAGGAAGAATTGAATTCAGTGTGACTCCAAATGATTAAAATCCTCAGTAAGACTATCAGCAAGTGAAACATCGTGTCAGGCTAGTTCTAAATTTAGTTCATGGACAAAGCTGAGAATAGCAAGAATCACATGGGCCTCTATGTAAGGGTCAGCTGACAATCCAGACGCATTGTCAAACAATCCAGTGTAACTTTTACTGAACTCCTGTAAAAGAACCTTTGTTGAAGTCCCTCCACCTTTCAGGACTTAGACATGCTAATGCTTAATTGAACTGAATGAATCTGTTCCAAACAGAGAAAATTAGAAATATGCAGCACTAGGGCATAGTGCTCTAGATGTTTTCCATTGCGGTCCCTTTGCTGATGTTTCTGCAATGAACAGGAGTAGCAGACTGGATTGTGGTGTTTGCACACATATGGTTGTGGTATACTGGAGATTACACACTTTTTTAAAAAATTAAAAAATTAAAAATTAAAAAAACATGTTGTTGCAGGTTAAGCCTTGTGTTTTAATATTTTCTTAATTGAGATTGGTTGCATCCCATCCAATAAGATGTGCTACTCCTGATGTATCAGTGATGTAGAGTTTGAGATGTCTTGCAGCTAAAATCATAGCTGTACACTTCAGAAATTCTAAATTTTTGTATGGGGCGATACAGCTGGAGTTGAATTTTAACTGGATGACGACTTTGGGGTTTGGAAGCACCTCTGCAGCTTGTTGATCTCTTGAGATTTATTTATGAGTCTCTGGATCAGGACTGATGCATGAGCTTATTTAGCACCAGAGGCAGTTCACGGGCGGACTCCCTGAAGAACAGGCAGATGGGGGGAGGTCATCTCCCCCAACTCCGTGAGATCCTGGAGATTTTAGTCATAAAACTCACATACCTCAGTTTTTCAACAGATCAATTTCTGAATGAGGCTTGTCCCAAGCCTGTGGAGTCCAGCCATGAGAGGCGATGTTGCTCTATGCTTGTGCTCTGAGATTGTGGAGGTTTTCAACCGCTGGGCTCTGTTTGGGCAAGTGCTGGGCTCACCCATTCCCCTATGGGGTGTCCCTGATGAGACTCAGTCTGGCGTGGAATCCGAAATCATCTCTGAGACTACACACTTTATTGAGGCCCCAGGGCCCCGAGAGCAGAGACTCTGTTGCCTCACAGTCTGGTTTGCGAGGGCATGTTGGGGGTAAAGCTTAAAGGTAGGCATTTGACTGCTGGGCTATCTCTGGCCTATATATTTCTAAATATTTCAAATAAAGGCACAGAGGCACCAGAAATAGAGGAAAATGAAGCTATTGTTTAGGGAGGGTAAGAGAAAAACCTCTAGACCACTGCTACATTTGCATGTCAAATGTGATTGTGTTTTAGTCTTCATCTCTTCAGAACGCAAGAGATAGTAGTTAATTTGTATCTCTGCAATATTATGTATTTATTTTTTGAACTGGTAATATATACACATGGAACAAATTTCAAAAAAACAATGAACCTCACTTTATCCCATCCTCACCTCCAATCACCCAGTTCTCTGCTCTGAAGACTCTCAATGTAAGCAGTTACTTGTGTACCTTCCTCAGGACAGCATGTTGGGGCTGAAGAGATGGACCAGAGAGCTGCAGTTTCTGCTTCACTAGTAGGACGCCCGTATTTGATGTCTGCACTGCACACTTGCCTGAGCACAGCTGGGAGCAAGCCCCAAACATAGAGCCAAGAGCAGGCCCTGGCTGGCACTGTGAGGTGTGACCACTCCCTCCCCCCCAGCAAACACACAAAAGCAAAAGCAAACAAGAAAGATTTATCAATTTATAAGAATAAATATGCCAGTAATCTTAAGAAGCACACACAAGTACCAACAGACACACAAATGGTAGCTACATCCCTGACCTGAAAAACTGTTTTTAAGACCCGACATAAGGAGTGGGGATGTAGCTGAGCAGCAGAGCACTTGCCCTGGGTATATATTTGGACTGCAAAAGAAGGAAAGAAAGAAGAAAGAAAAGAAAAGAATAAACAGGCAAGCAAACAGAAAGTAATAGGTCGTACTCAGTGGTGGGTATGTACCTTGACTGTCAGGAGTCCTGGGTTTGATCCTCAGTGGGGTAATAAAAGGAACCAGAATTATTTTAATGATATATTTGGAGGGTGGAGGGCAGGGAGGCTGAGCCAAAACCAGAGGTGCTCAGGGTTATTCCTGGTTTGTGCTCAGGGGTGATCACTGGCAGTGCTCAGGGAAACAGATGAGGTGCCGAGAATTTGATTTGTTTTTGGGGTTATTGTTGTTATTTTCTTGTTAGTTTGTTTGGGGGCCACACTCTGTGATGCTCTGGGGTCACTACTGGCTCTGCACTCAGGAATCACTCCTGTCAGTGCTTGGGGGGTGAAACCATATAGAATATTGGGGATCAACCCCCCGTCAACTGCATGCAAGACAAACGCCCCCTCTACCCACTGTATTATCACTCCAAGGGGTGCCAAGGATTTGAACCAGAGTCAGCAGCATGAAAGGCAAGTGCTTTTACCCTACACTGTCTCTCAAGCCCTTAACTATTTCTTATTGTATTTCCCAAAATATGTGTGCACTGCTATTGCTATCTATACTTACTTCAGAATCATCTATTAACTTTGTACCATAAAAAAGAATAAAAGAATTAAACTAACCACTAAGTGTAATCTATTCACTTCTCTTGTCCTCCCAATATAGTTTTATCACAATAGTTTTTAAATTTTATTTTCATAAAGTTATTCACAATAATCGATCACATTCAATATTTCAACACCAATCCCACCACCATTACATCTTCCCACCACCAGTATTTTGAAGTTTCCCACCACCACTCAAGTCTGCCCCAGAGGCAGATGCTAGATAATTTATTCTCAATTGCTTGTTATGAATAATATAAGCTGTCTGTAAGGGTCTATCTCACAGTGATTCACACTTAAAATCACTTAATCACTTAACTTCCCGTTAGTCGGCGATTTGCTCGAGCGGGTGCCAGTAACGTCTCCATTTGTCCCTGTCGCGTGCTAGTGTAGCCCAATGGCATCTCTTCGCTCCGGGAACATGGAGGGCCTCAAACCGATCGTTCATGATCTTGACAAAGAAGTCTGACCATCTGGTAGGTGGGCGGCCACGCGGTCTCTTGACATCCCGTGGAATCCAATCAGTAACAGCTCTAGTCCAACGGTCGTCTTTAAATCTCATTACGTGACCAGCCCATCTGATTTTCGACACCTTGGCATATGAGACAGCGTCCCCGATCCTTGATCGTCGACGGATGTCAGAACTCCGGATTCGTTCTCTCATTTGAGTGAAACGTGTTATTCCAAGCATAGCTCTTTCTATTCTTCTTTGGGAGACCTGAATGGCGTTCTCATCTTGTTTGCGTAGGGCCCAGGTCTCTGAGGCATATGTTAATGCAGGAAGAACAGTGGAATCAAAGAGATGTGCCTGGAGCCAGAGGTTCTTCGTCCTCTTAGCTATTTCTTCGACGTTCTTGAAGGCGTTCCAAGCCGCTCTCTTCCTCCTGCGCAGCTCGGGTGCCAGGTCATTTGTCATGTTGACCTCTCGACCTAGGTACACATAGCTGTTGCATTCGGAGATGGTCGTTCCATTGAGAGCGAATGGGGCGTCAGGAACAAGGCTGTTTCTCATAAACATTGTCTTCGTAAGATTCAGCTGTAGTCCTACCTTTCCACACTCACGGTCAAAGTCGGCCAGCATTTGTGCCGCTTGGCTGATGTTTGGTGTTATTAAAACAATGTCATCAGCAAAGCGGAGGTGGTGTAGTTGCTGACCATCTATCTTCACTCCCATTCCTTCCCATTCCAGTCGTCGCATGATGTTCTCGAGGGTGGCACTGAAGAGTTTCGGTGAAATGGTATCACCCTGCCGCACCCCTCTCTTGACATCAACGATCACTTCTTTGTAGAATGGTGAGATCCTGGTAGTGAATCCGCAATACAGCTCACGGAGGATCCTGATGTATTGGGCTTGAATGCCCTGATTGGCTAGGGCTTCAATGACCGCTTCCGTCTCAACAGAATCAAAGGCCTTCTTTAAATCAATGAACGTTAAGCAGAGCGGCATCTTGAACTCAATGAGCTTGGTTACCGTGTGGATATGGTCGATGGTGCTGAATCCTTTGCGGAACCCTGCTTGCTCGCATGGTTGTCCTTCATCTAGTGTTCTGCCAATCCTATTCAGGATGACTCGAGTGAACAGCTTGTAGATGACAGACAATAGGCAGATCGGGCGATAGTTGCCAATGTCATGGATGTCTCCCTTCTTGAACAGTAGTACGGTCCTGCTGGTTTTCCATTGGGACGGAACCTTGCATTCAGACAGGTAGCGAGTGAAGAGCCGAGCCAGTGTATTGATGAGTACTGATGGCAGGTTCTTCAGGTGTTCAGGTCTGACCTTGTCTGGGCCGGGTGCTGTTTGCTTCTTTACCAACGAAATGGCGTGTCGGATTTCAGAAGGGAGAACGTTAGGAACGACATACCCATCCTGTGGAATTTGGTATGTCGGCAAGTGGACATGGCTATCGAAGAGATTTGAGTAGAAGTCATGGATAATCTTCTCCATTGCCGTTCTGGAGGATGTGATGGATCCATCAGGACGTCGGAGGGCAGTCATCTTGGTCTTATAGTTGGCGAAGGACAGGCGGGCAGTGATTCAACAACAACAAAAAGAGTATGATAAGGCCGGAGCGATAGCACAGCGGGTAGGGTGTTTGCCTTGCACGTCATCATCCCGGGTTCAATTCCCAGCATCCCATATGGTCCCCTGAGCACCACCAGGAGTAATTCCTGAGTGCAGAGCCAGGAGTAATGCCTGTGCATCACCGGGTGTGACCCAAAAAGCAAAGCAAAAAAAAAAAAGAGTATGATATATGTGATATATAGCGGGGTTTTTTTTTTTTTGGTTTTTTTTTCTTTTTTTTGCTTTTTAGATCTCACCTGGCAATGCACAGGAGTTACTCCTGGCTCTACACTCAGGAATTACCCCTGGTGGTGCTCAAGGGACCATATGGGATGCTGGGAATCGAACCGGGTCGGCTGTGTGCAAAGCAAAAGCCCTACCCGCTGTGCTATTGTTCCAGCCCCGATATATAGCATTTTGGGACCGTGTAGTCCTGGGATCATAAAAATTTAAATAATTGGGGTCCAGAGCCATCCCTGCAGTAAGGTACTTGGTTCCGAGATTCATATATAAGTCTCGTGATCATGGCCCCTAATGCGCTAATTAAATACCAGCCGGAGGCAGTTCGTGGGCAGGATCCTGGAAGGGAAGGGATGGCCCAGTCCTGACCCCATGAGGCCTGGCGCTTTGAGTCACTGGTCCCACAAACCTGGCTTTTTCAGCAGATTTATTCTCTTGCATGGGGTGACCCAGGACAGGACTGTGAAGATAGACCGTGATGGTGGTGGCAACTGGGTTCTGGAGGTTTGGGGCTGCCGGGGTTCATCTGGTGCAGGCGGAGAGAGAGGACATCTACTCCCGTTTTGAGGTGCCCGGGGGAAATGAGCGGGGCACCTGGTCTGGACCCATCCCTACCACGAGCTGCTCGGGTCCGAGATTCCTATGAGTCTCTATCAACATATTGGTTAAACCAACAATTAGTAGAGTTGAACCAAATACTGGAAATGCCTATGTTCCTTTTGTATTTGTGTGTGTGTGTGTGTGTGTGTGTGTGTGTGTGTTTATGGTATTGTTTGGTTTTTTAATGTTACGAGTACTTTAAAAAATTCTTTCCTTTTCTCTTTTCATTCTTTCTTTTTCTTTCTTAAGGATCAAGCATTTTCCACCTAGCCACATCCCCCAGCCCTCCTTTTTTCAAAAAAGTATTTCTCCTTCTGCTCCTCTCCCCTTCCTTCCTGTTCTCTGCCTTCCAGTCCCCGTCCCTGCACTCCTCATCCCTTCATTGTTACTGTTGCAATGAGCAGTTTGCAATGCTCGCACATTTGGCTGAGGCGCTCTCCGTGGTCTTTCTCTGGGTGGTGCTCTTGCAGGGCCGACCGGCGTGTCTGGCAACACGCTGCTACGGCACTTGGAGCCTCGCCTTGCAGAGCTGCCAGGATCTCGCCTCGTGCATACGGGCAACAGGAACACACTCACGGCTTCATGCTTGGAAGGTCCAGATCCACAGCCCCACCTGCATACCAATAGTAACAGTTTTGGTGATGGGTCTGGGGTGTGTGTGTGGGGGGGGGTGGGATGGAGAGAGAGCATGATAGGTAGGGTACTTGCCTTGCAATGGTCCCTCTAGCTCTACCAGGAGTGACCCTTGAGTTCAGAGCCAGGAGTAAGCCTGAGCACTGTCAGGTGTGGCCCAAATCCCCCACCCCCCAAAAACAAATCTAAAAAATTTTTTTGTTAAGTTTCGGGGGTGCAGTGGGGCCCACGAGATGGTTCAAGTGGCAGGAGAACTGGCTTGTAGGCTGGAACCCTGGAATTGACCTCCAACACTGAATGGTGTCCGTTCCCTGCCCATAACACAGCTGAAACCCCTGAGAACCACAATGCACAGTTCTTGGCACTGCCAGGTGTGACCCCCAAAAACAAAAAATAAACAACAGGGAGCCCGTGGTGATACCGGGGGTTAACAATAACCATCTGAGACCCAGCATAGAGCTGAGAGCTGTGTGGGTCTCACTAGCCCAGGAGAAGTCACCAGCCAGGGTGCTGGCCCCAGTGAGAGGAAGAGTGTCTGGAGTTCAGGGGCAGCTGCGTTCAGAGGCAAGAAGAGAACTCCGCCATAGCTTTTTACCAAGCACACCATGGTTGTGAGTCATGACCAGAATTAGGAGAATTTCAAGACTAACTATGCACTGGAGAAGATTCACGAAGTCAGGGAATGGAGAGGAGGCTTGCCCAGGTCACCACTGCTCGTGTTCCTAACAGTCTGAGAAAGAGGTGTTCAGGGTTTTTCACAGACCAGTAAAGTTCAGAGAATTTGGATGGGGGCAGAGAGGTTGTTGTTCTTTGATTTTCTTTTTGCTTTTTGGGTCATTCCCAATGGTTCTCAGAATATCATTAGGTGCCAGGGATGGAATCTGGGTCTGCTACTGATTTTTTAGCGGGGGAACATCCAGTTGTGCTTCTGGTTCTGCACTTGGGGATCATTCATGGTGGTGTTTAAGGAACTTTATTGTGGTTCCAGATCTCTACTGTATGTAGACCTCTAGGTTCCAGGTTGGCTGCCTGTAAGGCAAGCACCTTACCTGTACATCTCTCCCACCCCATCATCTCTCCATATATTTATCTTACTAGTCAGGGCAGCATTATCTAATACAGTATTCTCTGGGACGATGGAAATAATCTATATTTCTGGGTTGGCAGCCTTGGAAATTCCCCAGCTGAGACCAGACAGCGGCCCTTGCTTAAGGAGAGCTAGCAGAGACAGAGAAACCGGACCTTTCTAGAAAGTGCGGGCAGGCGGGATTTCACAAGGGAACTTAGATGTGAGGCTCACTCGGCAGTAGCTAGTCAAGCAGACCTAGGCAGCAGCCAGCCAGGATTTGGGGAGGATGTCCTCATGGAGTTCAAGCTCATAGACCTGGTGTTACCTGGGGACTGCTCTAAGCATTGTTGGGGGACCATCAGCGCCAGAGATTGAACATAGGCCACCACAAAGAACGCTCCCAGACTGCTGAATTATTTCTTGGGCCCAAGACAATTTAACACCTGTCTGCCCCACTATGTTGTAAGCTTAATAAAGGCATGAACCATGAGGATAAATATTTGATGTCCAATACTAAGTACCATGTTTGGTACACAGTAAACTTTTAGTATTTAAAAGCAGGGGCCTGGAGTGACAGCACAGCAGGTAACTCTTGCACTTGGCCATGCTGAGTTTGATCTCTGACAAACATATGGTTGGTCCCTGAGCACTGCCAGAGTCCTGAATGCAGAGTCAGGAGAAACCCCTGAGCATCCAGGTATGTCCCTAAACCCAAAACAAATGCAAGCAAATAAACATATTAATATACACAATAGAATACAAGCAGTCATTTAAAAGTATAATGTGAATTTATTGACCTGTAAAATTGCCCCATAAGTGTTAAATTAAAAAAACAAATTATAAAATAGTATAGTTTGATCTTTTTATAAAAAGAATAGCTATGTATACAGATGCATTGATCAAAATGTTAATAGAATTAATTAATAGAATACCTTTATTTTCTTTGTAACTATATTATTTGAGTTTTAAAAATAATAACATTCATTTGACCTCCTTTCTAACTTAAAAATAATTTCCATACTGGAACAACCAAGTAGAGATGAAAACTACTTTTTCCTGTCACAAATTTTCATTTGCACATAATTCCAATTAGACCGTATTTAGACACAACCTGGATGAAAATGTTGAAACATATTTATTCAGGTACCATTTGTAAGTGTCTGTGTCTCCAATAAAATGATCTCGACGATCATCTTGTAGGGAAATGATGAAGAAATGTAATTTGTTATTTTAACATTCACAATTGCCCATTAGACTCTTCTCTCTTTATTCTTAGCCTTCTCAGGGTACAGAGAATGTAGTAATAGATCTTATTTTTGTTTGTTTGTTTTTTTTTTTTTTGGTTACGTTCTTGGTGTTCAGGGTCCACTCTGGATGCAGTGCTCAGGGGTCAATCCTGGCTGTGCTCAGGAGGGAACCCAAACCCCTGCATGCAAACCACGTGTTCCAGCCCTCTGAGTTATCTCCCCAGGCCTGGATCTTAATTTGATCCTATCCTATTTTTTGCTGAACACCAAGAAAGTTAAAAAATAAAAAAAATTGAAGGCAGTGAATTTCTGAGTCACGATAATATCAACAGCTACTATATTTAAAGCACCGTCTTTACACAAAACCAGTCTGCAAAGGCATTCTTCCCAAGAAAACATTAGCAAGATTCTAAAGGCGTATTTATTTTACTTATTGTTTCTGGGTTGTAACTGGCAATCCTCAGGGGTCACTCCTGGCTCTGCTCTCAGGAATTATTCCTGGTAGTGCTCGGGATCCAGGGATTTGGGGCCTGGGTCAGCTGTGTGCAATGTCAGCTTCTAGCCACCGTATCATAGCTCTGGACCTCATTGTACTTCTTTGTTTCAGAGCCCCACCCAGCAGTGCTCGAAGGCTGCTCCCGGCTTGATACTCTGGGAGTCCCTCCTGGAGGTGCCAGGTTTCAAACTGAGCCTTCCCGCATGCAAAACATGCCCCTCGGCCCTTGAGGTGGCCTCTCTGCCCAAAGTACCTCCATTTGCAACAAACACCTTCCACTGCTCTACTAGCTACACAACTGTAATTGTGTTCTATCAATTTCTCCTTTAAAATGTATTAATATCCAAAAGCCATTTACCAATGATAATCTTCACACAGCCATATACTTCCAAGATATCTTAAAAGTAAGTATAATTGCACTTGTTATTTTTCTTACAGTTGGCGTGATTGTAGGGAAACAGAAAATCCTTTTGCCTATTGAATTCCTTGTCCCAACAAAATGTAACTCAAGTTCCATTCATATTATTAAGTAAAACAGAGGGAAAAAATAGGGTAAATACTGCATGTATAGGATATGGCTACCTGTCTTTTAGTAACATTATTTTTGTTGCATTTTGCCAGTGTCAGACCACCAACACCAGCACCACACAGTCAGAAGCTACACTATGGGACTGGAGTGCAATAGAAAAGCGCTTACTAGGGGACCTGGGTCTCCATCCCTGGCAGACCCCATCCCCAACCCCCTGCAAAAAAGGGAAAGTTATACTCGGACCTGTAAAATGTAACTGCCCCAGAGGAACACTTTCACCATGATTCAATCGCAGTAAAAAGTCTAACAGAACAATGATAAATATTGTGCCATAGAACCTTAATCATACAATACAAATCACTTATAATACAAATCGTAATGAAGAACATCTGCTTGCACTGCTAGGCTCTACATATTCTTTGGAAGCTCAAAAAAAAAAAGTTCACAGATGTCTTATTAATCTTCATTTCATATCTAACAGCATTAAAGCTGGGTTTTCCAAGTAGGATTTCCACAGATTCGAGAAGCGTGACATGGTAGCACCGTCAATGATTCTGTGATCAGCTGACCAGCTCACATTCAGCACCTGTGCCTTAAATACTTCTCCTTTCTGGTTAAATCTGGGAAGGGTCTAGAAATAAGGAAGAGAACAGAGTCAAGTTTCAAGGCGCCAAGTACCAACTCTGACAATGGCAACCCTCCTCCACGTAACACACATTTCAAGAGACGTTTGAAAACGTGAACGGGCACTCTCCCCACTTTTTTTAAGTTCACACCTCTAAATTGCAGAACTTCCGCAAGATACTTCTTGTCCTGTAAAACCTCCATCCATAAAGAATATTTCATCCCAGATTCCAACTTTTTCTTTGTGAGGGGTCGGTGCCCAACCAACATTCAGGGGGCCAAGGTCCACTCCTGGAATTTTTTGGCCAACCAGTTCAATGTGTGACTAGTGCTGTGACACTATTGGGGCTGGTGACATCGGAGGCCTTCAGAGTGACACCCAATGAGCTGGAGAGGGCCACGGAGGCACAGACAGGGCTGGCGATCATCAAACTCAGGACCTGGTACATAAAAGGTACACACCTTGACCACTGGTGGCTCTCCTTTCAGATTTCAACTTTCTTTGTGGGAGAGGGGGCTATCCCCAGATGTGCTCAGGGTTTACTCCTGGCTTTACACTGGGGGCTGCTGTTGTCAGAGTCTGCACTCTGATAGACTCCTACTCCTAGCAGCCTCGGGGACAGAAACGGGGTGCCTGGGAATTGAACCTGAGTCAGCCATGTGCAGGTAAGCCCTGCTGTATTATAGCTCCAGCCCCTCAACTTCTAAAAATGTTTTTTTTTTTGGCCATTTTTCTTGATTTATCAGGATATTCTGAAGCAATTTCTGCTGTGCTCAGGAGTGATCCCTGGTGGTGCTCAGGAGATCATACATGATGTAGGTGATTCAAATCGGGATTGGTGGGATGCAAGACAAGAACCCTCCCCCCTGGATTATTTCTCTGGAAGATGAACACTGGGAGAAATCCCTGACTGGAAAACACCGTGTCATGTTATGTGTGTTTGCTTTTTTCCTCCCCATTTCCTCTGTGAGCCTAAAGGGAAAGCAATGTTGGAAGAATAGGGAGTAACAGCTACTGCGGAGGGGTGATGGGCCAGAAATCAAAGGCTGAATGAAATTATCTGCAAAGGTTTTGCATGCCAACATGAAAGCAAAACACTAATGAAAGACTCTATAGAAGCATTATAAATAGAAGATAGGTTTTTATGAAGATACAAAACTCAAAAAGAGAGGGCCAGAGCAACAGCACAATGGGTAGAGTGCTTGCCTTACACATAGCCGACCCAGGTTCAATCCCCGGCATCCCATATGGTTCTCTGAGCATGAGCAAGCCAGGAGTAATTCTCGAGTGTAGGGCAAAGAGTAAACCCTGAGCATTGCCAGGTATGATCCAAAAGCAAAAAACAAAAAAAACAAAAAAACCAAATCCAAAACAAAAAATAAATCCCTCGAAATGAAGTGACTAACATTTAATAGTGGTGCTAAAATGGTATCCAGAGCATTATTACTTAATTTCTGGTGGATTATAAGGATGTCAAGCTCTTTTTTTCCCAAAGGTGTATTTGGTTGTCATTGTTTTCAATCACGCCAAATGATTCTAATGTATATCTAGGGCTAACATTATTATAACCCTGTTCTAAATCAGCCACACAGATCACATGCACTGGAGCTACATGGATTCTTGTTAAAACACAATTTCTTTAGGCTCTCTACACAAGACCAAGAATCCACGGGGCCGGAGTGATGGCACAGTGGGCAGGGTTTGCCTTGCACATGGATGACCCGGGTTTGATCCCTAGCCTCTCATATGATCCCCGAGCACCACCAGGAGTCATTACTGGGTGCAGAGTCAGGAGTAGGCCTTAAGCATTTCTAGGTATGACACTCCCCCACCCCCACAAAAAAGGAAATAAAAGAACCTACATTTGGTGGGGGCTGGAGCGATAGCATGGTGGGGGGGGCACTTGCTTTGCATGCGACAGACCTGTTTTGATCCCCAGCATTCTGTATAGTCTGTTCAGTACTGCCAGGAGTAATTCCTGAGTACAGCCAAGAGTAACCTTTGGGCATTGCTGGGTGTGATCCAAAAACCAAAAAAATGAAAAAAGAATCAACCGTTTGGGCTGGAATAATAGCATAGGGGTGGGGGATGGTGTAAGGCCTTTGTCTTGCATGTGGTAAACCCAGTTCAATTCCCAGAACTGCCAGGAGTGTTCATTGAACCATCCAATGTTAGGAATCAAACTTAAGGCTCCTACACACAAAAAGCGTTCCAGTCACTTCAGGTATCTCCTTGGTCCCAAGAAATCTACATTTTAAATTTGCCTTGCCATGATAAAGAGTAAAGTCTGGGGCTGGAGCAATAGCACAGCGGGTAGGGCGTTTGCCTTGCACGCGGCCGACCCGGGTTCGATTCCCTGCATCCCATATGGTCCCCCAAGCACCGCCAGGAGTGATTCCTGAGTGCAGAGCCAGGAGTAACCCCTGAGCACTGGCTGGGTGTGACCCAAAAAGAAAAAAAAAAAGAGTAAAGTCTGACAAAGAGCATGAAAACTAGGAATCAGTAGGAAACGTTCCATCTGAGTAGGCAGCAGAACAGAACAGGGACGAGCAACGTCTACGGTGGAGGGAAGCGTTCCACTGACAAGAGGAGTAGGTATTGCAAGGGAGTCAAGTGTTATGTATGAAACCCATCAGCAGTAGTATCCTAAATCACAGTGCAAAAACTATTATACACACACACACACACACACACACACACACACAACTGCTCAGAGAGGCAGACTGGTGGGTGGGAGACAAATGATGAAGGGAAATGAACACTGGTGAAGTGACAGATGGGTGTTGAAACACTGTATTCTGAAACCCAATCATATAAATAACTTTTTAATTTCACAGTGACTAAACCGATAAAAACTTAAAAATATATATAAAGTTTAGGGGTCAGAGTGATAGTACAGTGGATAAGGCATTTCGTTTTGCATGTGACTAACCCGGTTTTGATCCCCGGCATCCCATATGGTCACTTGCACACCGCCAGGAGTAATTCCTGCGTAGAGTCGGGATTAACCCCTGAGCATAGCCAGGTGTGACAAAAAAAGCAAGAGCAAAACAAATGTTCGAAGTGATTAGCTTAATTTGAGATATTGGTAGGGACTCCTAGGTATGCCCAGCATAATCTACAATAGATAATGCACTCAGAAACAATTCTAATCCCCACCATTCATAACACACACAGACAGAGAGCAGAGTTGCAGCCTAACTCTCAGGAAGATATAATTGGTTCCAGAAGCCAAAGTCACAGTTAAACTCAAAAAAGGAGGGCAAAAAACCACGTTAATGGCTACTCTTCACTGTTTACTCCATTGATTTGTTCAAATTCCTTTTTCAGTGACTGAATAAACATACCTGAATTGATCCAATAGCCCCAATTGCTACTTCAGGTGGCAATATCACTGGTTTGGCATAGGTGCCACCAATCTGGAAAAAAAAAAAACGCAAAAAAACAGTAAAACATTCAGCATTTGAGGTACAAAAGATAAAAGGAATTAAAATTTTTAAAAGTGCAGATGATTAAAACTCATCAGTGACAGTTTCTGAATTTGAACACCGCCGGTACTCACAGATCCAATGTTGGAAAGAGTAAATGTGCCACCCGTGAGTTCAGTGGTGCCCAGCTGCCCGCTGGAGCCCAGCTGCTGGAGACGGTTCAACTCCGAGGCGATCTCAAATACAGAGCAGGCCTGAACATTTTTCACATTGGGCACGATCAATCCCTGCTCCGTATCCATTGCTATCCCAATGTTATGAGAAGCCTAAAAGATACACACAGACACACGGAAAGTTGAAACAATAAGTCTTTTCACAAGATAACAGGAAAAGACCACCTTTCACTGTTTTATAAAAACATCTATCAAAAACAATACCAGAAAGGTGGTGATTGTCTTGTGATAATTTGGTGGGCTGGGGCTCAAGAGATAGTACAGTGGGTAGGGTGCTTGCCTTGCATACAGTTGACCCAGGTTCGATCCCCAGCATCCTATACGGTACCCTGAGAACTGCCAGGTGTGACCCAAAACAAAATAATTTGTTGGGGGAGAGGAGTTTGGGCCGTACCCAGCTATGTGGCTCATGTGTCACAGGTGGTGCTGGAGACCAACCTGGGCAGCCAAGTGCAAGGCAAGTGCCTGCCCTACCCATTCTACTATTTCTGTGACTTTATCTCTTTTCTAATTGACATTAAGTGGAATCTTTGGTTCTCATCAACTGATCTATTTGTTTTGGTGTGGGGCCATACCCACAGTGCTTGGGGTGAAACTGTGGCTTCCAGCATGCAAAACAGACACCCCATCTTTGCACTGGCCCACAGATTCTGAAGGATACTTTTTAAAAGGTAGTTTTTACCTTGGTTAAGAGTACAGGGCAATATGGGCAGGAGAAAAAGTATAGCGAGTAAGGTACTTGCTTTACATGTGGCTGACAGGGATTTGGTCTCCAGAACCACATATAGCCCTGAACATTGAAGGGTATAGTCACAAACCAAAAACAAGTAAAATCAGGGGCTGGAGTGATGGCACAGCGGGTAGGGCATTGGCCTTGCACGCAGCCAACATGGCCGACAGAGGTTCGATTCCCAGCACCCCATGTGGTCCCCTGAGCACCACCAGGAGCAGTTCCTGAGTGCATGAGCCAGGAGTGACCCCTGAGCATCGTGGGGTATGACCCAAAAAGCAAAAAAAAAAAAGTAAAATCAGGGGGGAAAAAAAAGAATATAGGGCAATATGCTATATTTTCATACACTGCTAATGAAAGTATCAGCTGGAACACATTTTTTGGAAAACAATAAATGCAGGAACTATATAGGGATACTGGATTCAGACTGTAAAATTAAGAAATTATAAACAATCCTAAAGTTTACCTACAGTCCACTGGCTAAGTAATAATGCTACATTTATTAATATGTAATATACTACATGGGCTGGAGCGATAGCACAGCGGGTGGGGTGTCTACCTTGCATGCAGTCGACCCAGGTTCGATTCCTCCACCCCTCTCAGAGAGCCCGGCAAGCTACCAAGAGTATCTCGCCTGCATGGCAAAGCCTGGCAAGCTACCCCGGATGTATCCAATATGCGAAAAACAGTAACAAGTCTCACAATTTGTTGTGAGACATTACTGGTGCCCACTTGTGCAAATCGATGAACAACGGGAGGACAGTGACAGTGACAATATACTACATGAAAAAAGAAATGTTGAAAGAAAAATACTTTCAGGTTGTAAGTTTAATAAGTTTAATAAAAGAGCATGTATAGTCCATATGATTTTTAAGTATGTAAAAATAAATTCCTAGGATACATATCTCAAAGTAATTAATTATTTTTGCTATCGTGGGATTAAAGATAAATATTTTCCTGTTGAAATTCTCTAGAACAGGAGTTATATATGTTTGTTTTTGGACACAGCCAGCAGTGCTCAGGGCTTACACATGGCTGGCTCTGTGCTCAGGGATCACTCCTGGGAGGCTCAGGAGACCGTATGTAGTGCCAGAGACTGAACTCAGGTCAGTCTTGTGCAAGGCAAATGCACTATCCACTATACTACTGCTTGCGCCCCTGTAATAGTACATAATTAGGAAGGAAATGATACTAATTATATGTGAAGGTTTGACTGCTTATGATATCTATTCTATTCCTGGTTGTGTATTTATCTACTTTCCTGTTGTCAGGGATGGCAGACAAAGCCTCACTCAATGTGAGGCGTATGCTCTGTGGAGCAATATGAACAACATCCTGGCCCCTTAATACTTATCTCTAATAAGGAATAAACACAAGGACTGGCAAAGAATTCTTAAGATATCTGTTTGGGGTTGGTTTTGTGGAGGACATACCAGTGTGCTCAGGGGTTACTCCTGGCTTTGCACTCAGGAAATACTCCTAGGCAGAGATTGAACTCGGGTCAACTGCATGCAAGACAAATGCCCTACCCACTCACTGTACTATCCTTCTGGCCCCAGTTCTTAAGACCTTTCAAAGGTGACACTGGTGTATAACATTATAGAGGTTTCGGGCATATAGTGTTATGAGTCTGTTCTCATACTCTTTCACTCCAATCATAGAACCTTGGCCTTGGCCACCCATGGTCGATCCTGTGACCACATTTGGTCCCCGAGCCCTGCCAAGAGTGATTCCTGAATGCAGAGACAGGAGGAAGCCCTGAACGCTGCCGGGTGTAACCAAAAAAAAAAAAAACAACAACAACAAAAAACCCAGCTCAAACAAAAATCAAATTTGTATCAGTTTTCTCATTTAAATTATTCTTGTTTTAAAATTATAGGAATTCTATTTGGAAGAGCTTCTTTTTAGAGGAAAGGATATAGCAAAAAGGGGTGCATAATTCTGGGCTTATGGATTGTTCACAGTCATGTATTTCTATTATTTTAAGCAGAAAACCAAAGGGACTTAAAAATACCAATATAGGGCAGAAGAAATGGCCCAATGGGTTGAGCACAGCCTCTGCACACGGAAAGCTCAGGTTTTGATCCTGAGCACCACCTGGGATGACCCCCAAGGCACAGAGCAGCCCCTGAGCTCCATCAGGTGTGATTTCCCCCCAAGTCCAAACCATACCCGAAAAACTAGGATCAGGGAGATGGTTCAAAGGGTTGGAGCACATGCTTTGTCTTTGGGGGCTCTGGGTTTGATTCCCAGAGCATTGCTGGGTATCCACAAACCTCTCCAAAGGGGCGATCACTGGAACAGTATCATTATTAAACAGTAAAACCAACAATGACAAATTATATTTCAGTGTGCTGGTTTGTCTGTACCTTTAATTCTAGTCTAAAAAGATGACCACTGAGGTACAATAGAAGCTTCTCTAATTAACAAGCACATTCACATCACCTTCTATTTACAATAAGAACATTTCACAACCAATAGCCAACCTTGTATGTTATGTTCTGGCAGTTTTCATCCACAGAAGCATTCAGAATAGGAAACTGGAGTAATCCCAAGGAAGCAGCCTGTTTAACAGAAGGAGAATACAATGTCAGCATTTACAACTCTGAAAAGATAATTTGAAGGTGAGGTGTAAAGGGAAAAAACACTTATCTATGAGCTTAATTTCAAGTTGTGTGTACCTATGTGCATCTATGTTATCTTCAAGCAGTATGGATTTCCTCTAATCACTTAAGAATAAGAGAAAAAACAGCAGGCAGCTTGTAGATATCAAGGAAATTTCTGAAAACAACTATGCAGATTGACCCAAGTATGAAAGGAAAATGTCTGCTTCTTAATTATGTGAGGGCTGAAGGCATAACCCAATCCATGCCTCTTTATATCCACGCCCTCTGGTAGTGTTCTTATAAACTGCTTCTGAGTTTAGAATGACAATGGTCACTAAATTAAGAAAAGATAGGCTGGAGCCATTGTACAGTGGGTAGGGCACTTGCCTTCCACATGGTCGACCCGGGTTTTGATCCCTGGCATCTCATATGATCCCCCAAGTACCAGCAGGAGTAATTCCTAAGTGCAGAGCCAGGAGTAACCCCTGATCATCATTGAGTGTGGCCAACCACTGGGATGGAAGGGCGCGCTGGGGGAAAACAGACATGGCCAGAGCTGTAGTACAGCAGATAGACGCTTGCCTGGCATGTGGCTGCCCTGGCTTGATATCCAACATCCCTGAGCCTGCCAAGAATGATTCCTGAGTTCAGAGCTAGGAGTGAACCCTGAGCATCTCCAGGGATGGCTCTGAAAGAAAAAAAAAAAAAAGAAAAGACACACTGGACTCAAATCCTGCTTCTGTGCTTCATCCCTGCCAGTGTTAGAACCCAGGTGAAGAAAACAGATGGGTTATGGACCCTATGCCACATGCAAAAAACTCTTCTAGTGTCAGTACTGACCCCATTCTCCTTCTAACATGCTAACCCAATTTCTACCTGCCCATTAAATATGGATAGAAGGGGCTGTAGCAAGAGCACAGTGGGTAGGGCGTTTGCCTCGCATGCGGCCAACCCAGGTTCGATTCCCAGCATCCCATATGGTCCACCAAGCACCACCAGGAGTAATTCCTGAGCTCAGAGCCAAGAGGAACTCCTAAGCATTGCCGGGTGTGACCCAAAAAGGAAAATATATATATATATATTTATATATATATATGAATAGAAAACTTTTCGGCCTTTGTTTCTTCTGGCTCACACATGACTTGAGTGATCTCATCCACGTGCCCTGTCACTCCAGCACTCCAGAGGACTCTTTCAAGCGATCATCTAGTCCAGTGCTCACGGTGACTGCCACCTACTACATTTCCTGTTCAGAGGAACATCTCTCCGTTTGTCAAGAGAATATCAAAAAGATACAGCTAAAGAACCGTTTCTAGCTCAGAAAAGCTCAGTGGCCAGTGAAGAGACAACTAAGTCAACAGTTGTGAGGCCATGAGATTGTGATGGGAAGCAAAAGCAGACTGAACTCATTCTAAGGCAGCTGGTAAAAGCTTCTAGAATGTGCCACCTGAACAAAATATGCTACTTAGGTCATGCAGCTTACAATCAAGGACAGAAGGGCACTTCATGTGGCATTTTGTGTCCCATAAACAACAATGGTGATCTTAATCTGGCAGAAACAGAGGCAGGGCTGGAGCAATAGTAAAGCAAGGACGGTGTTAGACTTGCACATGGCCAACCCAGGTTTGATCTCTGGCACAGCATACTATCCTCTGAGCACCACCAGGAGTAGTAATCTCTTAGCATTACCAGGTGTGACCCAAAAAGCAAAAAAATAAAAAAGAAGAGGCAGGTAACAGTATATGCATGCCACAGTTAAGGAGCATGGAAAACTACTCTCAGGCACTAAGCAGTGATCACTGCAGAGTAGGGGATACTTTGGTGATTTATTTCTGGGAAATTAGCCAAGGCACAGGACGCGACTCCAGGGTTCAACACCATAGCCTGCAGTGTTTTATAAAGCAGAGATAAAACTAAGCCTTCTCTTGCTGTTAGCTATAAATCCCTAACAACCTTCTCAATTTATCTGAGTCCCAATTTCCTTAGAAGGGAGACAGCAGTATTTACAAGTCAGGAATTATTCAGGATCAAAAAAAGATCATGGGGCCAAGGATGTGGCTCAAGAAACTGAGCACAGGCCTAGAAGGCTCTGGGGGTGACCCTAGCACCATATGCCTCTGACTGCTAGGCCTGCATCCCTCTGGAGTGACCAACGGCAGCAGTTCCATGAAGGATGGGCAACGTGAGCTAGTTACAGACACAAGCAGATCAAGCAACAAAAAAATGTCAATTTTGAGCTGGAGCGATAGGACAGTGGGTAGGGCATTTGCCTTGCACATGGTGGACCAGGGTTGGATCACCAGCATCCCATATGGTCCCCTGAGCACCACCAGGAGTAATTCCTGAGGGCAGAATCAGGAGGAACCCCTGTGCATCACCACGTGTGACCCAAAAGGGAAAAAAAAGTCAATTTTACAAATTCCCATGAAATGTGGACAATTTCCTATGCGATATGGCCAAGGAACAATTACATTCTGATCCACAGTGAACACCTTGCATCTCTGCAAAACAAAAGGTAGATGTCCTACAGCAGCTCGTGGCTGAAGATGAACGAAACCTCACCTTTAAGAAGAAGGGCATAAAGGAGAGCTTAATTCCCCGCGACAAAGCAATGGGTTTCAGTTCTTCTCGGAGTTTAACCAGCTCAGTAACATCAACCTCGTCACAATATCCAAAGTGAGGGATCTTCAAGGCTGCAGTCATAGTCTTGACCATGGCTTTGTGAAAGCCTGAAACACATCACATACATTGTTTCTAATAGTTTAATTCTTTGCTGTCCCCACCCCACCCCACTACCCTCCCATCCCCTACCTACAATAAAAGGTTCTCTAATGCTGGTCACTCTACAGTTCTTCTTGGTGCTATTTATAGATACTGCTGCTTACATATGCTACTCCCAACTCAGTATTTGGGGTTGATCCAAAAGTTATACTTTTGTTGTTGTTTGTTTTTGTTTTGGTAAAGCAAGGTAGGTTTTATTGAAACTTCTCCAGAAAGATGTGAGGAGAGAGAAAAGGAGAAGTACATGTTGGTAGAGAACACAGGCTTCTTGAGAGTGAAACTAGGCAGACCAGGACACAGAGATGGGGAGACACGTTTTCAAGAGAACAGGGGCTTGAAGAGCAGGTCTTAAAGCTACTGTTTTCAGTCACTTCTCTCTGAGCTGAGGCCGTGACTGCCACGCAGCACCCAGAATTTAGGGTGACCCTGCCACAGCACCCAGAGCTCAGGGTGTTACTGTAACAAGCAGCAACTGTGCCATAGAGAAAACGCAAAAGAATGGAAATGGTGCATCCACCCAGAGGCTTTCTCGCTGAGGCCCACTTCCGGAAGCCAAGTACCTTAACAGAGCTCATAAACCAGGAATGACTTTAAAAGCGCCCTAAAAATAATGACTATTGGAAAGATCCCCCCAATTTTATCTAACAGAACAATGATCTACACATGTTCTTGGGATGTGCATGCATCCCAAGGAAACCCACCGTTGTAGACGAGTTCAGAAATTATCAGCACAGACTGTCACGGTGCCTGAAAACACCGTCATTTCCCCATATGCCGAGTATCAACCTTGCCTTCAGCGGCTTCTCTTCAAACCTGCGTTCTCCCTTGAGCACATGGCTGGCTGGCTTGTCTGTTTCTTAACTCGCTTATTTCCACTCTGGAGATGCTTGTGTTGACTCTTGAACAAATACATTTCCCTTCTTTCTTCCTACCTCTTTCTAAGCGAGTTTTGTTGAATAAAAACTATGTGCTTCACTTCAATGAAAGAAAACAAAACTTTCCCTTCAGCAATAATTGAAAACACTCTTATCTTCTGCCCAAACACTTTACACTATTCCCTTACATTATTATTTCTATTAAAAATAAAGGTTCTTATTACCTTTCACTGGTTCTGTCCTGTCTTTGCCTATGAATACCGGCGGTTTTGATACTGGAACAGGAATAGTCTTCTCTTTTGGTTTTGCTGGAGGTGGCACAATTTCCCCTTTTGGTGAAGGAGGTAATATAGCTCCCGTCTGCTTTTCCAAATAGTTGAGGATATCTTCCTTAAGAATTCTGCCATCTTTTCCTGTGCCAACAACTTCACTCAGCTTAATCTAAAAAATGGACATTTAACTATTATTCTGTTTCTTTTTTCAGACGACACCTGATAGATGCTTAGGGGCTACTCCCAACTCAGTGTTTGGGGGTTGATCAAAAAGTTACCAGGGATCGAACTTGGGCTCCAACAAACAAAACACGTACTCTGGATGGGCAACGTGAGCTAGACCAACGTGCCTTTCATGTCGCTGACCTGAGTTTGATCCCTGGCAACCCACAGGGTCCCGTGAGCATCCCCAGTGTGGTTCTGAGTCTCCAGCCAGGAGTATGGCCCAACCACCCTTCCCTCCCTAAATAAATAAAACAAAAAGGAAAAGGCAGACACACTCCAAATTTTCTTTGCATTTCTCATGAGAACTTTGAGAAATGATTTTTTTAGAAATAGGTATTTTCATGTTTTTTTGTTTTGTTTTACTTTCTGTGGGAGTTGGGGCATAATCAGCGGTGCTCACAGGCTTTTCCCAACAGTGCTCAAGGTCCCTGGGGACTGAACCCAGGCTACTCACATACAGAGCACTTTGAGTTATCTCCCTTTCAAATGTTTTCTTTTTAAAAGAAAATTTCAGGGGCCAGAGTAATGCACAGTGAGCAGGGCATTTGCCTTGCATACAGCCAACCTGAGTTCGATCCCCAGCATCCCATGTGGTCCCCCGAGCACTGCCAGGAGTTAATTCCAGAGTGCAGAGTCAGGAATAACCTCTGAGCTTCGCTGGGGGTGACCCAAAAAGCCAAAATTATAATAACAATAATAATAAGGTATTTTCACACGTGATTATGAAGTTGTTCCTAAGACTATTGTTTCAGGCATTAATGTTCTCACACCAATCACACCATGAGTGTGACCAGTGTCCCCAGTTTCCCTCCCACCACCCCTGCCTGGCCCTTAGCAGGCACAAACAAATTTACTACACATTGTTTGTTACAATACAAAGGCAAATGGAACTATGAAAACTTAGGTCAATAAAAGTCAATTTGTGCTGACTGCTACATTTCACAATGGGGTTGCTTAAGTTTTGTCTGAGGATCTACTGGCCCAGTTGGTGCTATTTGACCAAACGTTTTCTTTAATCAGAAACAGTCATATCATCTTGAGATGATGGCAATTATTCACAGTTTGTGTCTACACAAATGCATAATTTCTCTTTTTTGTTCCAGGGCCACACCTTACAGTATTGGGGGGCAGCTCCAGATTCACTCCTGGTGGGAACGTCAGAGCACTGCTTGGTCCACGGAGATTTCTCTCCAGTCCCCACCGACGTGTTCTTCCTATGTGTTCTTTTTTTTTGCTTTTTGGGTCATACCCAAAGATGCTCAGGAGTTACTCCTGGCTCTGCACTCAGGAATTACTCCTAGCGGTGCTGGGGGACCATATGGGTGGGATGCTGGGGGGCTGAACCCAGGTCGGCTGCGTGCAGGGCACGCCCCCCCCCCCCTTCCGGTGAGTTCTTCCCCCTCCTGTGAAACAGTAAGGAAACTTACATTGTTTTCCATTGCCAGCCGGCGGACTGCAGGCGTCGCCAGCGTTTTCTGGCCCTTTATCTCTTGGTGCGTGTGCTCGTCGTGGGACACCGCAGGAGTTTCCACGACATCTTCTTCTGAGTCTGGCCACAATGTAAAATGTTAAAATGTTACTCTTTAGCCAGGACTACTTTAGAGATTCACAAAAACAAATTTAACTTGAAGTTAATATACACTGAAGGAAAAATAAAACACCATCAGCCTCCTTCAGAACAGGAAAACAATAGGGGTGGAATGGAAACTGTGCTTCTGTGTGTATTGCATGGGGTGGGGCCCATGGGTCCAGTATTTGTACAGTTCTGAGTAATCATTTTCAGGCATTAATTTCTTTTCTGTTAAAAACAAAATGTAATAGGGGCTGGAGAGACAGTACAGCAGGTAAGGCACTTGCCCTGCAGGGGCAGCCCTGAATTTAATCCCCGGCATCCCATATGGTACCCTGAGCCTCAACAGGAGTGAACTCTGAGTGCAGAGCCAGCAGTAAGGCCTGAGCAAACATCTGGTGTGACCAAAAAACCAAACAATAAAATCTCCCAAAACCCTCCAAACCAAGAAAAACCCAAAATCTAAGATCTAGGGGCCGAGGAGGGATTAAGATCTAGGAGTTACGCAGTCCATATATGAAAAATGATGTTTCCTAAAGGATCAAACAATTTACTGCTACTTATCTAGTGAAAAAAATACTTTGATAATGTTGTAAAATATTGCCTTTTACGACAACCTGGATATTGATGATAAAAATAAACCTATTTGTGAGAAGTTGCTGCAGAGAGACAGGTAAGGTAAGGAGGTAAGGAGTTTTTCCCTACCTTCCTGCAACAAAGTCACTCTATTTTAAATAGTGACATAGTTGGGAGAAAGCCATCTTCGAAAATACTAAAATACCAACTTATTCCACAACTCTCTGAAAATTGTTTCCTAAGCGTTTTTACACCTATTTTCTCCATTAATTATCATGCCATTTTACAGGTGTGAAGGACATGTGTGGAAACGGATTAGAGGAGGGACAGAGTTAAGACTAACCTCAAATTTCATGACTCTCCAACGAATGAAATTTTCATGGGTCTAGCACACATATACATGATTTTATTATTATGGTTGAAATTAAAATATTTTTTATTTTAAGAAAGAAGAAGAAACTCTGGGAAAGAAGTACTGTGTAAAGACACTCTGTAGGGGCCGGAGAGCCAGTAGAGCAGGTTTGCATGTGACCAACCGGAGTTCCATGACCCAAAATCAATAAGGTCCTCTGAGCATTGCCAGGAGTAATACCTAAGCACAAGTTAGGAGTAAGCCCTGAGTACCACCAGGTATGGCACAAAAAAAAAAACCACAAAAAAACAAAAAGAAGTATTGAAGGTTGCTAATTTAGTGTTGCTAAAATTCCTCATATGAAGAAAATTTACAAGAAAGTCATATTACTTCAGATTAACTAATAAAATAAATTTGAATTATTAAAAAATTAAACCATAAAACTACATGAGTAGGGAGCAAATTAACTCAGATGACTGGGGGAAATTTGGGGAAGAAAATGTTTTGAAATACTAAAAAAAAAATGCCTGAAGAATTTTTCCCTTAAAACTTGCAACTTCTAATTGGCTGCACAAAATTAAGCTAGAGCTACTTCATTCATTGTGCACATAATGTGTCCTGGCATTATTTTATCCAACTCAGGTTTCTGAGCATAATTAAGTGGCACTCTGTGATCTTAGCATGATTTATATCAAAGAGCTTTTTGTTTAACATCCCCAAACACTGTTCATGGAATTGGAAATTCAATTTCAGTGTTCTAGATACAGAATGGCACAGACACCCATTAGCTCTAAATAGAAGTTTCAGTGTAACAAAGGTGGTCAGCAACAAAGGCTCTTAAGTTAAACAGCTGAGGTCAAACTATAACTCCATCCACTACTTGCTATGTCACTATCGACAAGCTATAAAACCTCGGTTTATAACCCACCTCTGTGGATTTAATGAGAACGTAGATAACACTATCACAGACAAAAAGCCCACTAATGATGGTGTTAAAGGGCAAATGCAATGTAAGGGGCAAAATATTTAGTTTTTTATAAGACTCCTGCGACGTCTTATGTCCCTCCAACTCATCCTTAATACTTCTCAAAAGTGGCAAGTCTCCTTAATTAGGAGACATTAGAGGAAATGTCCACTTATTTGCTGTCAAACATCCTGGGAACTTAGTTGTGCGCACAGCGTAAGACCCAGGATACCTAAAATTGCGGCATCCAAAGCATGCATTCATATAAAGGAAAGGCATTCAGACTTCCATCAGACCCTCTCACTTTTCCCTCGGAAACAATTCTTCTCAAAGCTGGTCGTGCCTTTTCAGAAACTTGGAAAGGTGAGTGATGGAATAATGACAAAGCTCAGAGCCTAAATTAAACCAAACCAAACCAAACAAAAAAACAAAACAAAACCCCAAAACCCTCAAGGGAGCCACAAATAACATTTCTTTGCATAACAAGAAAGTTTTGAGTTATACTTAAATATCTTACGGGAATGAAATTGGGGCAAAGGAGACAATCACAGCATTCTATGCATGCTCTGCATGATAGTAGCTCACACTCAGCTTCGTGTCCCCGAGCACGAAACCAAATGAAGCCCTTAAACAATACAGGAGTATCCCCGAAACAAAGGGTGAGAGAGGCAATCCCGGACATTAGGCACTTGCCCAGGCTGCTGCCAGCCCTGTCTGACTCCAGGTATCACATGGTCCCCTGTACTTCACCCCCAACTTGGTTGGGTATGGCACCAAACTCCCAAAATAAATGAACAAAAACCCTTATGATTCTGAAAGAAAAATAAAAAGCTGGTATGATAGGTTTTAATTGTTTAAAAACCAGTCACCTGATTTTATAAACAGAAGTGAGAGAAATCAGGTTTGCCAGAAAGAGAACTCCACCTAAAACTGAATTTCCAATAGAGCACACACTGAGACCCAGATACGATCAGTTCTGAGATAATCCTGATGACATTAAGTAGCTGAATTTCAACATAATGTATTTTATTTAAACAATACATGCCCTGTAAACACACAGATGGCATAAATCCTTTCTGACAGCAGTCTGTCCATAGTTGACCACTGATAAATAAGACTTAAAGGTCACAAAAAGTTTCCCTCACTAAAATTATAATATTCCAGTCTTGAAAAACAGGCGGCAACTCCAGGCTGCAAGAAACAGTACCATAAAATATCATTTAGGAGTTGGGGGATCATGCATGAACTCCTGGTTTGACCTCCAAACTCCAAGTACCCCCGAATACTGGAGAATATATTTACCTGCAGGGCCCCTAAAGCATTGCCTGGTATGACCTTAGAGGCCCCAAGCATTGCCAGTGTGGCCCCAGAGGGCCCAACACGCAAGGACTTGAGCAACACGGGATCTTTGGGCCACAGCATTGAAGTGCTAGCCAGCTAGAATCACTGGAAGAGGCCCCAGGGCCACTGAGGACCACTAGGAGCACTCACCCCCACTTGAGGAAAAATATTATTGATGTAAGGATTGAAACACAGGGCAATATCCAAAACTACTACTGGAAATAAAGATGTCTAGTTTCAACTCTTAAGCCCTTGATTCTACAGATTTATTTTCCATGTATTAAAAACAAATTCAGGAGCCCATAAGATAGTTAAAGAGCTGGAGTACATGTGCTTCATGAAGGAGGTGTGGAGTCAACCTCCACCACTGCACGGTGCTCCCTGCAAGGCTGGGGGCCAACCCTGAACATCAGGAAGTATACACCTGTTCATGAGAGTAATTTGCTTTTTTGGGGGGGGTGGGGGGCAGGAGAGATAGTACAGAGGATAGGATATGTGCCTTGCATGTGGTAGACCTGGGTTCAATCCCTGGCACCCTGTATTGTCCCCTGAGCCCTGCCATGAATGATTCCTGAGAGCAGAACCAGGAGTGAGCTCTGAGCACCACCAGATATGGCCCAAACAACTCCCCGACTACCACCCCTCAAAAAAAAAAAGTAATTGGGTTTTTTTGGGATGGTCTAGGTTGGTATTTAATCTTGTATCCAGTCAAACTCGTACCTGATTAGAGAGTCTAATTTAATATCAATCACAAAAGCATTTAGCATCTTTATTCATCTCAGTTTGTATCAAAAGTATAATCCTCTTTTCTTTTTTGGGAGTCCAAATCACTGGTGGATAAAAACAATTCTATATTTATTTCAGATAGTTTTCAAATGAGCATGTTGGGGCTAGAGCAATAGTACAGCAGGTAAGGTGCTTGCCTCGCAAGCGGCCAACCTGGATTTGAGCCCTGGCATCCCATATGGTCTCCCAAGCACTGCCAGAAGTAATTCCCAAGTACAGAGCCAGGAGTAAACCCTAAGCACGGATGGGTGTAACCCAAAAACCAAAGAAATAAAATTTGTTTTGTTTTTGTTTCTACTCTTTTTATATTATACCTTTAATCAAGCTAGAATCAAGATAAAGGAAATACCTGTGGTACTATGGCTCTTACCCAACACACATTAAGGGACGGAACAATGGTTAATTTCAGGTCCTGGGCAAGAAAAGTACAAGGTGACCCTAGGGTATCTTGTGCCAACAGCAAGGAAACTTTAGAGAATCAGGCTGGCTAATGTTAAGATTATACAGGACCTCCAAGTCCCTTTCAAGAGTCACAAGTACCAAGAAGAATTATTGTAATAGATTAGGCATAAGGAGTCAACTGAAACATAAAGAGAAAGTTGGAAACATTGATAGCCCCATTTGAAGGCGCTATTAAACTAACTCCTTACTCTGTGAATTAGTAAAGGGAATCAACCATTATTCTGTCTTTCTCAGAATAATTAATAGCCCCATACCAAGAGAAAAAAAGCCCTACTTCATAGATTAGTAACAGCTGATAACAGCAAAGGATTGACAGAATCCACAAATCATCATCCCACAGCCATAAAGCAGCTACTGATTTAAAAAGATTCTCGAAAAATCTTATGATTTATATGGCTCCAAATAATCACATCACACAGATGTGTGTAACATCACACAGATAACTTTTAGTTCAAAGGGAACAATGGGGGGGGGGGGGTAAGGGTATTGTTATCCTCGTTCAGTACCTGAGTTTATTCCACTGAAGCAAATTGTCCAGGTGGTTCATGTTTCCTTGTGTGAAGCAACATGAATCACATTAATAACCAGGGTGTATTCTAGCCGAAATATTTCAGCACAGACTTGTTCAACATTTTGGATTTACAGGAAATATATGGACCGGAGGACAAGTCAACTACCACTGTGAAGAAGTCACAAGACAAACCCCAGGCCCTGGAGAGACAGTCCAGGGCTTGAGGCGCTGGCTCCGTGTGCAGCTGACCGGGCGGATGCCAGCACAAGCACCAGGAACCTGGAGTGATGGTGGCGAGCACAGAGCTGGAGTTAGAAGCACACTCCTGAACCAACAGGTGTGGTTCCCCACACTGCCCCACACACCCTCAAAAGAGATAACCCCAAAGATGTGACATTCCACACAGACAAATGACAGTGTTTACAGCTAGTCAATGTCAAGAAACAAAATGTGAGGGAGGCTTAAAAAGACCACGTAACAAGGACCAGGGCTGACACTCGGTGTTATAGCACCAGCTTTGCATGAGTAGATTCTGGGTACGATTCCTGACACTGCAAAAAAAACAAAATAGAACAAAATTCCCCAAGCACAGAAACAGAAGTAAGCCCTGAGCACCAAGTATGGCACCAAAATGAACAGAATGCAAAGAGAGGGAGAGAGAGACCAGGTACTATCTCTGATGCTGGAGTTAACCCTCATTTAAGCAGACCAACAGAAATTTCGGTGGCAATTCAGGTATATAAATAATGTCTGTAGGGCAAAAATGAAATGTGTTATGATAAAAACACACAGATCATTAACTAAATAACAAGATTAGAAAACTATGTTTACTGCTTTATTTTGGTAAAAAATAAACAATCTGGGGAACAATAGTATAGCAAGTTGGTCACTTGTCTTGCATGACACCAGCCTAGGCTCAATCCCCGGAATGACAAATGGGTCCCTTGACTACTGGAAAAAGTAAACACTAAATGCAGAGCCAGGGAAAAGCCATGAGCTCTGCCAAGTGTAGCTGCAGAACAAAAAATCAAAATAAACAGTCACCTATTTCTCTATATGTACTTTTTAAAAGGCCTGAAAAGAGATACGTGAATGTTAAGAGTGGCAATTTCCTATGTTTGGTTTCTTCATTTTCTAACGTTCTACTAAGCTCATGCCTTGCTTTTATAATAATGGCAATTAAGTAATAGGGAGACTCTAGTATGCCACCACCCAGCCTTTAAATGGAAGATGCCACAGAGGAAAGGACCATGGACCAAGGCTGCAAACATCAGGGCTCTAAATTGAGCTCCGTCCCTGACATTGGGTGAATAATCCTACTTCTCTAGGTTGCTTTAGTTTTTTCTCTCTGTGAAGTTGGACGATCTCACAAAAAAGGAAAATTGATGAAACATTTTATAAATTGTGAAGTTGGACTATCTCACAAAAAAAGGAAAAGTGATGAAACATTTTGTAAATGGTGAAGTATGGGGATGATGATCTTCAATAATTAATATTCATTATTACTACTGAACAGATGGCAGAACGGAAGTCAACACAGTCCATGTACTATGTAATTTATAGTCCTTCTAGATTTCAAAATCACACTGTTGAGATCTTTATTTCAGCGGACTACAGGTTTAGTCTTGTTTCAATGTTGGGGCTCATTCCCAGCATTGGTTGGGGAACTGTGAGGTGCCAGGGACCAAGCCCAGGCACCCTGTATACACCCTGCACTCTACCCTGCTGAGCCAGCTCCAGTCTCTATAATAAAATATCATGCTCCCCAGCTGTTTCCTAAATGACGTAAGTTTGGTGTATCACAATAAAAAGGAAATTCTCAGGTAGAGAGGCAGGTGTCTCTCATCCCAGGGACTGTCCATTACTTATTTTTTCTTCATAATAGTCTTAAGATGAATTCTCTTTTGACAGGACATCTACTGCTTGTAAGTCAGTCCTATGGTTGATGCTTCTTCAGAATGCTGAACTCCTAGACCAGAACCATAGGACAGTGGAGAAGGCGTTTCCCTTGCATGAGGCCAATCTGGGTTCAATTCCCGGCATCCCATATATAGTCCCCAGAGCAAGCCCAGAGTTACCTCCTGAATGCAGAGCCAGGAGTAACCCCTGAGCACTGCCAAGTGTGGCCCAATAAAACAAAAACAGAAATAAAAACCAAACCAGAATGCTGAGCTCTTCATTTTTCATCCTTTTTTTCTCTTTTATTTTTCTTCAAATTTACTCTTCTTGACTGTTACCAACACAGTGGATTGTTTGCTAACACAGAATAATCGAAGTGTTGGAGTTAACCTTTGTAAACTCCAACTTTTGTTATTAGTGTTCACTGTTCAAGGCCTGTGTATTTAATTCTCCAGAGAGTTTGATGCTTCTTTGAATTCTAGGGTTTCCAGAAAATACAGGCCTCCAGATAAATGAAATGTTCCTATACATGTTTTTAAGATGATACCAATTATTCAGAGTTCAGGAGATAGTACGGGGGTTAAGGTGCTTGCCTTGCATGTAGCCAACACTGATTCAATCCCTGGCATCACACTGGGTTGCTGATACACTGCTAGGAGTAATCCCTGAGCACTGTCAGGGGTGGTCCAAGCCCCTTCCTCCCCCATTCCCAAAAAACTACTGTCATTCATTGCACAGACTCTTTTCTTTTGTCCTGACTTCAGGGCTAATCCCTCCAATCCAATCCTACACAGTACTGAGTAAAACATTCCTTCTCATTGCTACCCAATGACAAAAGGACAGTAGCGAAGGACTTGGTAAAACACACGAACGTATTTACAGTACCTTTTAAAGCTTCCGTTTCTATGTCTACTAATGGCTTCCCCACATAGGCAATATCGTCTACATTATAATAGAGTTTTCTAATGACTCCGTCATAACGACTAGTGATAGTAACAGAAGCTTTATCACTTTGAACTTCACAGATGCTATCAAACTGAGACACTGTATCTCCTTCTTTTATATACCTAAAAGAAAAAGACACAAAAAACTTTTATATCAACAAGTATAAGTAAAGATCATCCTGACAATGAAAAGATCACACTGGATTAGATCAAAATTCATCTAGCCCAGAATTTATTATTTTTATTTTTTTTCCTAATGATGGTTTAGGTAAAGTGGTTACAATGGTACATAGTAAAATGACAAAGTTGCTGCACACCCCCAGACCCCAACGTGCCTGTGACCCTTCACCTCTGCCCCTTTATCACCTCTGGTCTTATCTTCATTCACCTCTCCCCTTCCTCCCTTCTGTTACAGAATCAGTTTTGTCCAGTAACTGTTGATCCAAGGCCAAGTGTTTGTCATTTTTGATATTATCTATTCCATTGCTGGGTCTTTCCATAACTTATAGGTGAGTGAGATCGTCCGATATTTGTTTTCCTCCCTCTGACTTAGTTCACTTGATACATATCTTCCAGTTCCATCCAAGTTGCAGTGAACTACAAAATTCTATCTTTTCTTACAGCCAACCAGTATACCATTCTGTGTGTATATATACAGATATATATATGTATATATATTGGATATATATATATCTGGATATATACATACACACACACACACACACACACACACACACACACACACACATATATATATATATATCACAACTTTTTTTCCCAATCCATTCATCTGTCATTTGACATTTAGATTGCTTCCATGTCCTAGCTATTGTCCTAAGCACTGTAGTGGACACACGTTTACATATATATTTTTTGAATTAATGTTTTTGTGTTGTGGTGTTAGATGTCAGGAAGTACTAGCTCGGAATTTGTTCCCTGTTGGTACACCAAAGGACATTCTATAGCAATTAACTAAAAATTTCTGAATCTCTGATGTAATCCAGGCCATCATGTCTGCCCGGAGGGGAAAGGGTGTTGCTCCCTTCCGCCCTCCTCCCTGGAAAGAAAGATGGCGGCCGCATGGGAGCCTTGTGGACAGCAGGTATGAGCCGGGGGTGTTGGGGCGACTAAAACCTCATGGGAAGGGGGGCGTTTTGGCCCGCCCTTCACACCCTACCGAGGCCACCAGTTGCCCCCCACGAGCGGCTCTCCAGCACGGCCACGACTCCAGAGCACAGAAACCAATTTCTGAACTATCTGACTTTCAGTAGAAATACTTCCAGGGTCAATAAGTAAAATAGCAGAAATCCAAAACCAACATTTAATTCTTGAACCCAGCTGTAGAAAGCAAATTACTTCACAATGCTTTTTCAGCATGTCTGATTTGGGCGGGGGGGTAAACTCTAAATAATAGTGGTGAATTTTTTAATGAAACAATGAATCTAATCAAAGCAGATAGAGTGTTAACTAGAATTCATCTGCCTCACAGGGACTGGGAGGGGTGGGGGGTGGGGTCTTATTGGGGTTCTTCATGGTAAAAAATAAGTATTGGTAAAGGGAAATGCGTTTGATATTTGCATGACTGAGACCTAAACCTGAAAGCTTTGTAACCTTTCCCACAGTGATTCAATAAATAAATAAATTTAAAAAAAAAAAGAAAAAGAAAAAAAAGGCCAAAGTGAATACATTCCCAGATAAATAAGAAACTCAGTGATAAGTACACCTGCCCGGCCAAGAAGTACCAAAAGAAGCCCTTCAGGTGAAACACAGGACATTAGACAGAAACAGAACTCACATGGAGTAATAAACAGTATCAGCAAGGGCCAGGCATTTGGCTCCAATGGCAGAGCACGTGAGGCCCTGAACTGACCCCCAACACAGCTGGCTTCCCATTCAGTACTGGCTGGAGAGGCCTAGCTGACCTGTGTTTGTGAACAATTATTTTATTTATTTAATAAGTAAAAATCTATCAGTAGGAGTTGGCAAAACAGTACAGGAGGTAAGCGGAGCCCAGTTCAATATCCGGCACTGCATATGGTAACCCAAGGTACCAACATGCTCCTGGGCATGAAGCCAGGAATAGATCCTGAGTACCAGCTGGGCATGGCCCCAAACCAAATCTATCAGTCAAGGTAACTACAAAGTAAGTATAAGAAAAACATGTATGCATTTGGGGGGTTGGAGTGAGAGTACAGTCAGCAGGGTAGTTGGCATGTACCAACCTGGGTTTGATCTCCAACAAGTCTTATGGTTTCCTCAGCACCGCTAGGAGTGATTCCTGAGTGGGAATAACCCCTGAGTATTGCCGAGTATATCCCCAAACAAAGCAAAAGTTTTTATATACAATTGAAACTCCATTGGTGTTAAAATTACACTGTCTTAGGGGGCTAGAGGGGAAGTATAAGAGTAGTATAAGAGCTTGCCCTGCATGAAGCCAGTCCTGGTCCAAATCCTGGCCACATATGGTCCCCTGAGTACAACCACCAGAAGAAAACCCAGAGCAAAACATGGTATGGCCCAAAAGAACAAAAACAAAAACAAAACAAAATAATACACTGCTTCCTCAAAGAAGAAATACAAATGGCTAAAAGACACATAAAAAATGTTCTACACTACTAGTCATCAGGGAGATGCTAATCAAAACAATGAGATATCATCTCAAGCCATAGAGACTAGCACACATCCAAAGGAACAAAAGTAACCAGTGCTGGCACAGATGCAGAGAGAAAAGGACTCTCCTTCATTGTGGGTGGGAATGCTGACTGGTCCAGCCCTTTTGGAAAACAATGTGGACATTCCTCAAAAAACTGGAAATCGGGGCTGGAGCAACTGCACAGCGGGTAGGACGTTTGCCTTGCACGCTGCCGACCTGAGTTCGATTCCCAGCATCCCATATGGTCCCCTGAGCACTGTCAGGGGTGATTCCTAAGTGAAGAGCCAGGAGTAACCCCTGTGCATTGCCGGGTGTGACCCAAAAAGCAAAAAAAAAAAAAAAAAAACCAAACAAACAAACAAAAAAACTGGAAATTGAGCTTTCATAAGACCCAAGAATACCACTCCTGGGAATATATCCTGAGGCCCAAAAACACACAAAAGAAATGCCATCTGCACTTCTATGTTATCTAGGCTCTATTCACCATTTCTGTCACTGTCCTCCCATTGTTCATTGATTTGCTTGAGTGGCCCAGTAAGGTCTCCATTGTGAAACTTGTTGTTACTGTGTTTGGCATATCAAATACATCACTTGCTTGCCAGGCTGTGCCGTGTGGGCAAGATACTCTCAGTAGCTCGCCTGGCTCTCTGAAAGGGGCGGAGGAATCGAACCTGGGCCCACCAGGTCGGCCATGTGCAAGGCAAACGCCCTACCTGTTGTGCTATTACTCCAGTGATATATATCTGAATAGATAGTTCTATTCACAATAGCCAAAATCTGGAAACAACCCAAGAGCCCAAGAACAGATGATTGGTTAAAGAAACTATGGAACATCTACACAACGGAATACTACACAGCTGTTAGGAAAAATGAAGTTATGAAATTAGCTTATAAATGGATGGGTATGAAGAGTATCATGCTGATTGAAATGAGTCAAAAGGAGAGGGACAGACAGAATGATTCCACTCATTTGTGGGATATGAAAAAACATAATATGAGACTAAGACCCAGCGATAGTAAACACAATGGCCAGGAGGATTGGTCCATGATTGGAACCTGCCCCAAGTTCTGGGGAAAAGGCAGTTGGGATAGAGAAAGGTCCACTATGACTAAGTGAGTTCGAAATGATCACTCTGAATAAGAACTATGTGCTGGGCTGGAGCGATAGTACAGCAGGTAGGGTGTTTGCCTTGCATGCGACTGACCAAGGTTCAATCCCCGGCATCCCATTTGGTCCCCCAGCACTGCCAGGATTCCTGAGTGCAGAGCCAGGAGTAACCCCTCAGCATTGCTGGGTGTGACCCAAAATGCAAAAAAAAAAAAAGAACTGTGTGCTGAAAATAAAAGAACAAACCCCAAAATGAGAGAGAGAGAGAGAGAGAGAGAGAGAGAAGGAAAGAGCTTGCCATAGAGATAGGGTGAGCAGAATGGGGGTGCACAGGAGGAAAACTGAGAACAATGGTAGTGGGAAATGCACACTGATGGAGGGACGGGTGCTGAAATATTGTATGACTGGAACCCAACCATGAACAGCTCTATAACTGTGCATCTCATAATGATTCAATTAAAAATAAATGAATTTATTAAATAGAAGAAAAAAGGAAAAAAATAAGTTGCCTTAGATTGATAAATCAACTATAATCCTTGGACAACTAGTGAAAAAATAACCTCAGCCCTGCATGTATGAATGTGAACTCTGCCTGTGTTCAATCTCCAACGCCACAAAAACTACAAAAAAATATAAGTTAAGACTCAGATATATGGCTTGCATGTAGCTGATTCCCTGCACCACCAGGAGTACTCCTCTGAGCTTAGGAGAGGAATAGTCTGTGTATACCAGTGGGAACAAAAAACACCAAAACAAAAGATACACACACACACACACACACACACACACACACACACACACACACACGGTCACGGTCCTCCCATTGTTCACCGATTTGCTCAAGCGGGCCCAGTAACATCTCCATTGGAGACTTTGTTGTTACTGTGTTTGGCATCTCGAATACGTCACAGGAAACTTGCCAGGCTCTGTCGTGCGGGCGAGATACTCTCGGTAGCTTGCCGGGCTCTCCGAGAGGGGTGGAGGAATCGAACTCGGGTCGGCCATGTTGGCTGCATGCAAGGCAAACATCCTACCCACTGTGCTATCGCTCCAGCCCATACACACACACACACACACACACACACACACACACATACACACACACACACACATATATCAAGGAGATTAAATGGCATATTTCATTTCAGTATATGTTTGAAGTTAGAAAAATAGTACAGGGATTAAGGCATTTGACTTGCATGTAGTCAATCCCTATTTAATCCCTGGCACCACAGAAGGCCCCATGAGCACTGCCAGGACTGAACAGTGAGTGCCACTAAGTGTGCCCAAAAGTAGGGAAAAAAAGGGGTGGGGGGAAGCATCTGTTTTTACACAAAAGAAGGCTGCTGTAGAAGAATAATC